CTTGGGGCTCTCTTCCTCACAGAGCTGGCTCCTGTTGGCAGTAATATATGAGGATGAGCAAAAATTCAGATTGGAAATTTAACTGGAAAGATTGAGAGGTAATCAAACGTGGACTGCTCCAAGAACAAGATGACTAGACTGTGTTCAGGACTGCCAAGGGTATAAATAACAAGATTACTGCCTGGCAGTGAACATGTGGCCTCAAGACTGGCATTTGCAATTTTACTAGTATTTCTTTTTTCTTTTTTTTATGCTTCAAAAGACATGTCTTAACTTTTATTGAGGACAAAGTTATATACAAATCATGTTCCCTAGAAATGATAGCTGAATAAAAAAGGACAAGTGGCTCCTAGGTCATTGTTTCAGGTTAGAGAAAGTGAAAAGTGAAAGTGAAGTCACTCAGTCGTGTCCGACTCTTTGCGACCCCGTGGACTGCAGCCCACCAGGCTCCTCCATCCATGGGATTTTCCAGGCAAGAGTACTGGAGTGGACTGCCATTTCCTTCTCCATTTACTAGCATTTCATTTTCTCTTTCATCTATCCTTTTTTTCCTGTAGGAAATTTCTAAAACATCATTTGCGAGGAAAGAACTGTGAACTCCTGCTGGTGGTACCAGAAGAGGTGGAGGCCCATCAGAGTTGGAGGGCTGATTTTACATGGTTTTTTAAAACTTCTGCACTTTGACAGTGGCGGCGAAATACACTAATCCAAAAGTTATCTTTCTGTTGAGAAGAGGGGGATTATTTTTCCTTTTGAGTCCAACCTTTTCTTCTTCCCGTGACAAAGCATAAATCATGGACACCAGAAAGTAAGGTGGACCTCAGGAATTCTCAAAAGGCTGAGAAGCTTACATTCCTCCTCAGGAGGGAAGGGTGGGGTGTTTTTAGCCCTCTCTGGAACCTAAAAGGAAAAACATGAGTTGCGTGCCGTGGAAAGGAGACAGGGTCAAATCTGAATCATTGGAGCTGCCCCAGGCAGCACCCCCGCAAATCTACCATGAGAAACAGCGCAGGGAGCTCTGCACGCCCTCAATAACGTCTTCCAGGACAGCAATGCCTTCACCCGGGGAACGCTGCGAGAGATTTTCCAGAGGTTATCTCCAAACGCCATGGTGACCCCCCACAAGAAGAGCATGCTGGGAAATGGGAACTACGATAGCCTTTGGTCTGAAGTGCTGCCATAATGATGTGAACGTCATTATGGCAGCACTTCAGACCAAAGGCTATGAAGCTGTTTGGTGGGACAAGCGCAGGGATGTCGGCGCCATTGCTCTCACAAACGTTATGGGCTTCATCATGAACCTGCCCTCCAGCCTGTGCTGGGGTCCCCTGAAGCTGCCGCTCAAAAGGCAGCACTGGATCTGTGTTCGAGAGGTGGGAGGTGCCTACTACAACCTCGACTCCAAACTGAAGATGCCCGAATGGATTGGAGGCGAGAGCGAGCTCAGGAAATTTCTAAAACATCATTTGCGAGGAGAGAACTGTGAACTCCTGCTGGTGGTACCAGAAGAGGTGGAGGCCCACCAGAGTTGGAGGGCTGATGTGTGATGAGTCCCGCCCAGCCTCCCCTCACCTCAGCCCCCTGAAATCCTCCGTGATGTGCTGTGGCCTCTACCATGGGTCTGCCCTTGCCACTTCCCCAAACATCTCATCGGGCCTTTTTTCCCCTCCAATTTGACAGTGCAATAGGACAGACATGTGAACTGTTGCACGAACCAACCAGCGTTACTCGCTCCTGGAAAAGGAAAGTAGGAGCTCTGTGTGCTTAGGGCGAGCTGTGGAGACCTTGGTTTTATGTAAAAGAGAAAGAAAGGTGGGTCTTAGCTTCCTTTCCCCACTTCTATGAGGACTTGACAGAGGCTATGCTGGAGTTCACTGCTGCTCTAACTGACGCACCTGGAGATGCTGCCTCCCCTTCCCCTTTCCTGGCAACCAGTGAGTCTGAACACGCAGTCCAAAGCCCATGGGACTGGTTGGGAGGCCTCAGAGCAGAAAGACCTCTCAGGAAACCATCTCCAGAACCGCAGCAGCGGCGCAGCGTGCTGTCTCCAGCCCTCTGTGCCACCCTGACGCCATTTTTAAGAGTGGTTTATGGCCATCCTTGAAGTTTTATAATGAAAAGTTCTCTAATATTCCATGCCAGGTGGTTGAATCCTGCAGTATTCTAACATGACAGGGTGAGCTAGATACTTGAGGATGTGGCCAAACCCAGGCTAGGGACAGGCACTGTCGGACAGCCTGTCTGCCTCACTCCAGCATTGTCCCTGCCACTTCACTGCACTGGTTTAGGAGGTTTGGGGACACAAGACAGGCCAAAGGGCAGTTTTCCCAGCTGACCCACCCCGGTAAAATCAGAAAAAAATAAGACTGCCTTCACCATCAAATTCTACTAGTTTGAGACAGCGTTGGGCAAGGGAAGTATTGTGAAGCTAAGCCCCCAGAGATTTGGAGCAGCTCGAATTAGAAGCCCTAGGCTTGGAGTCACTCTGGTGACCAGAAGCAGAGCCCTCACGTTGGGTAGAAAACGTGCATCCTGCTTAGGACCTGGGTTTGTCATCTCTGGAGTTTCTTTTACCGATAACTGAGAACTGACCCACCCCTACCTCTTTAAATAGCTGTAGGCCACTTTTCTCCTGGTAACTTTGGAAGACAAGAGGAGGAGAAATAAGTGTTAGACTACACCGCCTGTCACCAAAGGGGCCATGGTTGTCTCAAGGCAGGGGGGCAGGCAGGGGTGGCCTGTCCAGCCCTTCACAGATCAATGGTCTTGGCAGGTCTGAGAGCTGCCCCACTGGCCAGGCTCCTCTCCAACACAGAGCCAGCCTGGGGCTTGCATGTCCAGCCTGAGCAAGCTTAACGGGATGAAGCTGAGGCTTTCTCCCCACTGTGACTGGAGTGCATGTTTACACCAGCACTTTTTCTGCACATGTATCTTCAATCCCACAAGGCCATTTTTTTAACGCTAAGTAACAGAGGCCACCAAGCAGCTACTGCGTTTCACCCTCTCAGCAAGTGGCCACAGTCTCTTCTGCACCATTTTCTATACCAGACCTGCTTGGCACCACAGGGAGCTCGTCACCCCTGCACAATGACATTCCAACCACCACCAGCCAGAAGTTACAGCCAACCTTGCTGACTGTCACAAGCAGGACCTTGGGTCCATTGGCACTGTCAGTGATGTAAGCCATTTCCTGGGAGGAGGAGAAAACTCCTCGCCACCAGTCTGCTTGGGCCTGTGCAGACGGCACTTCAAAGGAGTCCTCACGCACTTGGAGTCCATAAGCCAATGGGATATGCAAAGACGCTTAACCATTTCAGGGCTGGTTCCTCTGTTCACATCCAATTCTGGTGCTTAGGAACAGGGACCTATGCTGATGCCCGAGGGCAGAAAGCCCCACTTCCTAAGGAAGTGGGCAGGCCTGACCCTGACACCCAGTCAGGGGCAACCCTAGGCTTTTTGTTTTTCTCTTGCTTTTCCTTTTTGTTGGCCTTGTGCTGGGTTTGTTTACAAAAGATGTATTTTGTTTAACCAAATATTAAAAATGGAAAACTCCGTACATAAATTTCATCTGTCTGAATTCTGTAACCATGTACAGTTTAAAAAGTGAACTTTAGTTTTAGAAGGCATTCACAACTGCTCTAAGTCATCTTTTAGAGACATACTGTGTTTTGGTCAAACCTCTCACTTCAAAAATCCAGACAAGTCACCAAGTACGACTTGACTCAGAAGTCTAAGACATTTCTCCATTTAACTTATAAAAACTAGGCTCCACAACATGAAGAACCCTAACCTTCATCTAAGTACAAGTTTTCCTTACTAACAAGTGATAATATTTTTCCCTGATTAACAAGTAGATCAGTATTTCAGGAGGGCCTGGGAGGCCCCAACATCAAGTACATTGCAGGATTCTGAGTAAGGCTGTCTAGATTTGAATTCAGATCAGGCATTTTCTGTTCAGCCTGGAGCAGATCCTTTAACCTTTCTGGGACTGTCTTCTGTAAAATGAGAATACTACCACCTCCTCAAGTGTATAATACGGTTCCAGCAACCCACATGAAAGGCTTAGTATTGTTACTAGCACAATGCCAATAAAAATGTATGTTAAGTGGAGAAACTACAGAGTTCAAAGATAGGGCTACTGCTGGATTCACCATCAAGAGCTCATCAGCAATTACAGTTGATCCTCAAACAGCACAGGTTTGAACTATGTGGGTCTGCTCTATACATGGAATTTTTTCAATGAATACGTCAGTACCATGACCTGGACTGAAGACACACAGAGGGCCACTGATAAAAGAAATGCACAGACTTGATTGCATGGAGGGTTAGTCCCCCCAACCCTTTATTTTTCAAGGGTCAACTGTATTTTAAAAAAAAAACAAACCCAAGATGTTCTACTTGTAACCTTCCTATTCTCAGACTAGAATTCAATACTGTCACTCTTTATAATTAATATAATATAATCTATATAAGTCCTTTATAATTTTTTTGGGGGGGGCGGTGGGATTTGCTGCATGGCCATGTGAAATCTTAGTTCCCTGACCAGGGATCAAACCTGTACCCCCTGTAGTGGAAGTGCAGAGTCTTAACTACTGAACCACTGGTGAATCTGCCTCTCAATGCAGTTTTTGATCCCTGGGTCAGGAAGATCTTGGCAACCCCCTCCAGAATTCTTGCCTGGGAAATCCCATGGACAGAGGAGCCTGGCAGGCTACAGTCCATGGGGTCCCAAAGAGTCAGACACGACTTAATGACTGAAACGTCACTGTAGACTGTGCAACTACATAAACCTAATCCTCTGTTGGCGGACCTGAAAGTGACTGCTGGAACTCGGAGAGGTTCTTGGACAAAGAGGAATTTTTCACCTTTTTGGCCCTAAGGGGTCAATCGGTATTCAATGGTGCTGCTGGCTTAGGTGAGAGAAGACGTCTTTGCCCTTCTAAAACGGTCTAAGTAATTTCCAGGTATGTATCACAAGCACTTGGAAGACTTTTTTTGTTGTTGGAATCATTTTTTTTTAATATTTAAATACAAAAAGCACTGACTTTTTTTTTTTTCCTTTTTAGACACATATACACACAAGTCTAACAGCCGAGATATTGGAGGAAATGAGCTCCTGCTCTGTCCTCCAGTTCCCATCTTACGGCTGAAGCTGCCAGCCCTCCCTCCATCCTTTCCAACGTACACAGAAATTCACAGTGGCTGCTTTGCAGCAGAGCTGTAATTAATGCATTTTGTATTTTATCTTGTGTGCATATCCTTCCCCAATATCTCCATTCTATTGTTAATGGTCAGGGGCACGTCCTTCTCCACAGCATTAGTTCCCACCCCAGCAATGGAATAGTGAGATCTTCCACCAGGAGTAATTTAGTGAGGGGGGTGGGGTGGCCAGAGCTGGAGTAACCGTCTGCGTTGCTGCACTCCGGTATCAGCATGAGGAGAGAAGAAATAGGACAGTGGAGGGCACAGCTGCAAGTGAGGAGTCTCTCCATGAGCCAATGTGGGGAGAATTCCCGCCACCAGGTTTATAGAGCAATGTGCCAAAGTTTAAAAAAAAAAAAAAAAAAATCCAATAATCAGCAGTTCAAACACTATTGAATTTTCAAACTTCTTCCACCAAGACGGGTCAAATATAGCAGTAGCAATCTAGATTTTTCCAGGAAGTGAAGGTAGAGCCCCGGGCATTCCTCCTGACAGCCCTGTATTAGGCCCTAGAAGTATCTGGAAAAGAAAAGGACGGGTGTAAGGCATTGTACAGATCCAAGGGTCTCATTTTCATCATACCTGTATGGGCAGACAAAGTCTATGAAAACAATGTTGCGAAAACAATGCTCAGGTAGCTAAAGGGCTTGGGCCAGATCCCAATCCTGCATGGCACATTAACTGCCCTACCTAGGCGCTGGAGGAATAAACAAACTTGTGTCACCACAGATGGCAAAAAGCCCAGGGTCTGGGCTCACCTGCCGTTGTTGCAGCTGCTGCTGTTGCTCCATCTGCAGCTTCTCAGTTTCAAAGACGACCGGAAGAACCAGGATCATGAAGGAAGTGGTTCCAATCCACAAGGCTGCCCTGGAAAACCTGCACAGGAAGCATGAGCATGACGGCGAGACAAAGACAGACAGCTTCCCCAAGAACGAGCTAGTAACCAAACCTCTCACCCTGCACACACCGATGTTTTTTGATAAACGTGTTCTACCCAACCCTGCACCGTACTCCTGCCAGAAACAGGAGGAGCAGTTCTGGGGGTTGTATATTTAATAAGAGTCTGAACTGAATTCTCACAATGCTGCTTTTATTACACATTATCTCACATAATCTGATCCTCACAATGACCCCCACTGGATAAGAATCCTCACTTTACAGAGGAGAAAATCGAGACCAAGAAAGGTTAAGGTGGCACCGATCCAAGGTCACTCAGTGATCCAGGTGGCCTCCAACCCAGGTCTGCTACTTCCAAAGCCCGTGTTCATTCAGGGCACCTCGGTCACGCCAGGCACATCCCAATATCTTGGCCCTTGTCCCTTACCTGTACATTTTTTGAGCCACGAAGAGGGAAAGATCAAAAGTGGCTCCAGCCGCGGACCGGACCCTCTCCGGGAACATCTCCGTCAGACCCCACAGTCTCTCCGATAGAGTTTCATCTAGCTGTGGTGGAGGAGGCATGGATATGGGCCGAAGCTGCGCAACCACCCCCCGACGCCGGGACAAGCCGGCCCCAGCAGGGCATCACCCCGCCTCCCGGAGACGCCTCCGCTGGGACCTCTCCAGGCTCCGCGACGCGCCTTCGTCCAGACTCCGCACCACGCGGACCCCACACCCCCACTCCCTGCCCACACTTTCCAGCCCCTCCCTGCCCTGCGGCTCTCCGTACCTCCTCGTCGTCGTCTTCCTCCAGCTCTTCCTCAGGCTTCTCGGCATCGCCTTTCGGAAGCAATTCGTCCGGGGACAGGGGCGCCCCAGGGCCGGCGGCGGCGGCAGCCATGGCTGTGGGGGACACCGGAAGCGGAAAAGAAGAGGTGAGTGCAGCGACGGCGGCGGATAGAGCCGCTCTTCTGGGAGCCGGGTCTTGGCGGACTTGGGAAGAGCGCCGCCCTCTGGCGGATCGACTTCACCGGCCTTCAAAAGGCAGAAGGGAACGTGACACACCTGGAAAATTTGTTAAGGCAGAGAGTCTAGTGTGCGCGCGGTAATTCTCTTCAGTGGACTTAGGGTGAGCCTGAAAATCTGCATTTTATTAATAACAAGCCTCCCAGATATCACACTTAAGCCAACACTAATCCAATTTCATTTTCCTGAGGGCTGTATTTAAAATTAGAGAGCTGGAGATGTATTGGTCTGGGAAAACGTGAAGTTAACAGTCTCAATGTATTAACATAAAGGCGAGTTAACACTCAAGTACCAGACATCGTTTGTGTGTGGGAACGCGGGTGTGTGTGGGTGCTCATTTAATCCTCACATCAACCCACTGAGGTGCTATTACCCCCATTTTAGAAATGAGATTGAGGCACAGCACAGGGTTCAGGGTTGCTGCAAGTATTCCTGAAGGATGGATTTCTAGAAGTGGGTTTCCTGGACAAAAAGTTGCTCAGTCACTCAGTCGTGTCTGACTCTGCGACCCCATGGACTGCAGCACTCCAGGCGTTCCTGTCCATCGGCAATTCCTGGAGCTTGCTCAAACTCATGTCCATCGAGTTGGTGATGCTCTCATCTCATCCTCTGTCATCTCCTCACCATCTCATCCTCTGTCGTCCCCTTCTCCTCCCACCTTGAATCTTTCCCAGCATTAGGGTCTTTTCCATTGAGTCAATTCTTTGAATCAGGTGGCCAAAGTATCGGAGCGTTAGCTTCAGTCCTTCCAACGAATATCCAGAGTCGATTTCTTTTAGGATGGACTGGTTGGATGATCTCCTTGCAGTCGAAGGGACTCTCAAGAGTCTTCTCCAGCACTACAATTCAAAAGCATCAAATTCTTCAGCACTCAGCCTTTTTTATCATCCAGCTCTCACATCCATACGTGTCTACTGGAAAAAACAAAAAAAACTAAGATCATGGCATCTGGCCAAAAAGTGTGAACATTTAAAATTTTGCTAGGTATCAGGTCATTGCCCTCAGAATTAGAGTATCATATACTTTCACAATACTAAATGGAAGTGTCCTTTTCTCCACGTTCTCCAAATTTTATTTTTTTGTCTATACAATGGATGAAAATGCTGCTTTTTATAATGTCCCCAACAAGTTATTAACATGAGGATAGTTTGATATACCTCTTTAGCCAACTGACTATGGAACCATAGACTCTCAGGACTGGACAGTCCCAAAACTTATCTGATAATTGACTTTGTCTTGTTCTTTCATATTGGGGTGGGGGGGTGGAAGGGACGGGGACTCAAGAGATATACCTAACCTTTGAGTTATGCAGGAATTAAGGTCCCCACGCAGGAGGAGGATTGTAACCTCAGGCTGAACACAAGATTCCTGGAGAAACGCCCTGTTAACTCACCACCAACCAATCAGGAGAAAGTCTGCACATGGTGGAAGATAAGGAAGACTCTGATCCCCTCCCCAAATGATTGTCCCTTTAAAAACTCTTATGGTCAGCAGAATTTCAGAGTTGGCTTTTGGACATGAGCCTGGCTTCTCCCCAAGTTGCTGGCCTCCTGAAGAAAGCTACCTTTCCTTTCCAACCAAGACTTGTCTCTGAGTATTGGTTTTTAAGCAGTGTACAGCTGAACCCGGTACTTCCCCAGTGGCTCAGTGGTAAAGAATCCACCTGTAATGCAGGAGACTGAGGTTCGATGCCTGGGTCAGGAAGATTCCCCTGGAGGAGGGCATAGCAAACCACTCCAGTATTCCTGCCTGGAGAATCCCAAGGACAGAGGAGCCTGGTGGGCTACAGTCCATAGAGTCGCAAAGAGTCAGACCTGACTGAAGCAACTGAGCAGGCAGGCAGCTGAACCTGAGTTCAGTAACAGGCTAGCTCTGCAGAAATGAAAGGTCAGCTTAATAGCCCAATGCCAATGGCATCTGGGCTTCCCAGGTGGCAATGGTGGTAAAGAACCCACCTGCCAATGCAGGTTAGGCATAAGAGACGCCAGTTTGATCTCTGGGTGGGGAAGATCCCCTAGAGAAGGGAATGGCAACCCACTCCAGTATTCTTGCCTGGAGAATCCCATGGACAGAGGAGACTGGCGGAATACAGACCATAGGGTTGCACAGAGTCAGAAACCACTGAAGTGACTTAGCAATGGCATCTGATTTCTTTTACAGATACTTTAAAAAAATGCTAGAAGACCAACACTCTTGAAGGGTTGAGAAGGCCATCTTGTATGGAAACTACAGATATTGTGTCTGATGAAATAAAGTTCATACTATAGAAAGATAAGAAAAATTTAAACATAAAATCTTCCTTTGCCTGTTCGGGCCTCCTCCCTCCCCTTTAGCATGTATTGTGACTCTTCTTTTAACCAGACCTCCTCATTGTTGTTGCCCAGTTGCTAAATCATATCTGACTCTTCGTGTCTGACCCCATGGGCTGCAGCACACTAGGCTTCTCTGTCCTCCACTATCTCCCAGGGTTTGCTCAAATTCACATCGATTGAGTCGGTGATGCCATCCAACCATCTCATCCTCTGTTGTCCCCTTCTTCTCCTGCCCTCAATCTTTCCCAGCATGAGGGTCTTTTCCAAAGAGTTGGCTCTTCGAGTCAGGTGGCCAAATATTGGAGGTTCAGCTTCAGCATCAGTGCTTGCAATGAATATTCAGGGTTGATTTCCTTTAGGACTGACTGGTGTGGGAGACCTCCTTGGGAGACAGATAGACTGCCTGGGGACCTCCTAGATATTCCTTCTTAATCTCATCAAGGGTCACAACTCTTTAGGAGATAGCCTTCCTTTTTTAAAAAACAGTTTTTGTTTTATTTTTGGCCTTGAGCCACATGGGATCTTAGTTCCTAGGCCAGGGGTTGAACCTGTGCCCTCTGCAGTGGAAGAGCAAAGACTTAACCACTGGACCCCCAGGGAAGTCCAGATAACCTTCCTTCTTAATCTTGTAAAATGCCATGATGACCCATTGATCTGGATTGTGTAAACTGTAGATTGTGTAAACTGGGCCTTACAGGACTTCCCTAGTGGTCCAGCAGATACGACTCTGTGCTCCCAATGCAGGAAGCCAAGGTTTGATCCCTCGTCAGAGAACTAAGATCTCACATACTGCAACTACTGAGTCGGAGTACCACAATGAAGACCCAGTGCAGCCAAAATAAATATATAAAAATAAAACCTAACAAAAAAGCACAAAACCCGGTAATAGGGGACTTCCCAGGTGGTCCAATGGTTAAGACTGTGCTTCCACTGCGGGGGGGCAGGGTGCAGGTTCAATCCCTGATGGTGGTGATGGTTGTACAATACGATGAGTGTATTAATATGACTTAACTATAAGCTTTTTGACAGTTAAGATGGTAATTTTTGTTATGTGTTTTGCCACATAAAAATGTTTTAATTAAAAACAAAAAAATTAGAACTATCCTCCAAAAATCCCCCTAAAAGTGGCGGGGGTGGGGAAGGGCATCTTCTTCCCCCAACCCAAGAGTGAATTCAAGGAGCTGCTGGGGAGGAAGGAGAGAAAGTGTCACTGATTATCTTAAGGAGAAATGGCTCAGTGGCAGCAAAGGAGACACACGAGAAGACTGGTGATAGCCCAGAGCCTCCGTTGAGGGACAAGTTGCGGGTGCCATCAATTGAGGGATGATGTCCCATGCTGGGTACAAGGGTGACTCTGCCATCTGGATGGAGCTGGGGTGTTCTAGAACCCCACCCCCAGCTCCTCTTATCCCCTATCCCTCAACTCCATAGCTTCCACCTTTCCTGTTTCTCTCGTGTCAGAATGTGAAACTGGCAATGCGGTAGTTCCTAATTTGGTTTGGTTCAGTGTGGGGCATAGATCCCTTTGAGAATTTTACAAAAGCTCTAAGTACCCCGTCCCAAGAAACCATACATGTCAGCCCATATCTGTACAATTATGCATATGGGTCCCCTTATTAGGCCTCGAGCTGTAAATTTTTTTTTTTTAGCATTTATTTTTGGCTGTGCCAGGTCTTCATCGCTGCTTGGGGGGCTCTCTCTAGTTGTACTGAGAGGGGGCTACTCTTTAGTGGAGGTGCGCGGGCTTCCCATTGTGGCAGCGTCTCGTGTGGACCACAGGCTCTAGAGGGCTGGCTTAGTTGCCATGAGGCACATGGGATCCTCCCAGAGCAGGGATCGAACCTGTGTCCCCTGCACTGGAGGTGGATTCTTAACCACTGGACCACCAGGGAAAACCCTTCTCTGGTTTTTTGCTCTCCCTCCCTCACACCCACAGAACTTTCTATCTCAGCTCTTCAATTCCAGTTCTTCCCTATGACAGTTCAGAAATTTACAAAATGGTCGCGGTGATTACAAATGATAGCAAACATTAAGTACACAGCACTATTTACTTGGGTGCTCCCCAAAGTAGTAGATTTGGTCAATAAAGCTTGGAGGAGAAAGAATTTTAGCCAGCATCTGATAGATATATCTGATAAAAAGGTAAGATCTTGAAGGTATATAGCATTTTCTTTTTTTTCTTTTTGGCCACACTGCATGGCTTGAAGATCTTAGTTCCTTGACCAGGGATTGAACCCACCCAGGCCCTCAGCAGGGAATGCAGTGTCCTAATCACGGAACTACCAGGGAACTCCCAAACCACATAGCATTTCAGTGTGTGTGTGGGGCCGGGGGGGGCGGGGGAGGAACCAAAAAGGTTTATGGTAGTGAGATATGGCTGATTCTTTTTCCCATTTCTTACAGATTTTCATTATTCTTGACAACCTTTGTGCCCAAAGATAATAAACAGTATAGTCCAAATCTCATCTATAACAGTATTAAGGTAGGTATAATGTGAACAATGAGTACTGCTTAATCAAAGTGTGACATTACAACACTGGAAAAATGGAGATGGAAAAAGGTAGGGGCTAAGAGCTAAATCCTCATCTTCTTGACTTATCCTTGACTCAGCTCACACAGCACATCCATCAGCAAACACTGGTGGGCTGCACCTTCAATTCCAGCTTAGAATCTGACCACTTCTCCTAAACTGCCACCTCTCTGGCCCCATCCTTGCCCCCTTCCATCTGTTCTCACACACAGGGAAGCCAGAGGGATTTTTTTTTTTTTTAAATAAAAGTCGATCAGCGTTCCTCTGGTGAAACTCACCAGTGGTTTGCTTCCCTCCTCGCCCTAAATACAAGCCCTTCCTCACTGCAGAGCTGTCCCACACGACTGAAGCCCCCTCAGGTGCCAGCGGTGGTGCAGAGGGGACCAGGACCCACATCATTGGGACCATGAAACATGCCCCTCCTGATTCCAAAGCTTTCAGTCCTGGATCCTTCCCTTCTAGCTGGGTCATCTTGCTGGGCTTGTTTCTTCATCTAAAAGCAGGGGATGATGATAACAAACTTGAACATTTTTCATGAGAATTAGAAACATGGCCCTTCTTTGGTTTATGTCCCAATAAACCCATCTCATCCTTCTCATCCTCCTTCTCCTTTTGCTTTCAGTCTTTCCCGGCCTCAGGGTCTTTTCCATTCAGTCGGCTCTTCGCATTAGGTAGCCAAAGTATTGGAGCTTCAGCTTCAGTTCTTCCAATGAATATCCATTTTGCTAGCATTTTGCTAGACTGGAAAACTATAATAGGTCAAAATACAGTTTATACTAAATGGGTATCACTTTTGCACCATTCTAAAGTCAAAATATTGTAAACTGAACCATCATAAGACCACTGAACCACTGTCTACAGGTATCTAGCATCCAGGGTGCACAGTAAATGGTTGCTAAAGACACTGGTTGAGGAATAGGCAAACTCTCCATTGCTCCTATTATTTGCACGTGAAGACTTGCAGCTTCATCCAGTATCCTTTCTCAGTGTCTTCTAAGTGAGTCTCTCCTGCACCAGGAAGGAAGATTATGGGCTGGGGCTTCTCTATCTACCCCACAGGGAGCTGGCCCTGAGGATGGACTACACGAGGCAGCCCCTCACCAGCTCCCCTCTTTCACTGTGGGCTGTGGATCACAGGCTCCCACACTTCCTCTGTCTGATCCCAGACCAGCTTTTGAAACCTCTGGAGTTTGGTTCCTTATCTGCCAACAGGCATGCAGACTGGTATGCCCTGCTCCACAAGGCTGAGCTGAGGAGCAAAAGAGAGTCTAAGCAAGATCCAGAGCCCTGTCCCAGGCGGTAACGGGAATCCAGAAACAGCTGACCTCAGTAGCCATCCCCGTTCTAAAGCCTGGAGCTCCGTGCCGCCTCCAGTGCCTTCCCCCTGGACTTTGGAAGCTGGACTCCCTCTTGCTGACTTTGGCTAGCTCCTTCCACCAGCCAGAGAAGCCCGGCTCCCTCTAAGGGTACAAACTCCCACTTGGGGAAGCCAGCCCTCTATCCCAACCACTCAATCCCTCCAGGTCCAGGCGAGTCCAGAAAGAAGGCGGATAGGGGGTCTGGGCAGAGTGACCATTTCTACTCCAGCTCAGCCTCTGCGGATGCCCAGGAAGCTGGAATGCTTCTCCTGGGATGGGGACATCCCCGCACAACCTAGATGACAGTGCATCCCAGGATTAGAACCCAGCCTCTGTAACTCACTTCCTCAGGAACTGAGGCTTCTTTTTTTCAGTCTTTTGGCCAGAGAGAGATTAGATAGCATCATTTAATTTTAAAAAGTAGGGTAGAGAGGAAAGTAGCACAAAAATATAGTGTTGCCGTGGAAGGCTGGCGCTGGCTGCCGAGATGCTGAAGCCAGAGGAGGTTGTGCATCTGAGGGAAATGAGTGTTCTTTAAAGGAGCAAGAGGATGGGCTGGAGGGCAGATAACCAGGACAGCCTCTCATCTGAGACCCCCCACCTCCCAACAAGAGGGCGCCACACCTCAAACACCGACGTGAGGGGATGATGGGATGACTTCCGTCCCAGGAGGGTGAGCCTGAGCCATGGCCATTTGGGTGTTAAGTGACTGGAGAAAACCCAAAGGCTTCTGTCACCCCCAGACCTCCCCGGGGAGGTCTCCCCTGCCGTGAAGCACAGGACTGGCCTGGAATCTACTGCGGTCACCTTCCTACCGCCAACCCAAGGGGGCCAGTGCCTTCTGGCCCTATTATATGATGCTCTCTCCCGGGACCTGATCCCTCCGTTTGGCTAAAAATACCCTCAGCCACATCCCCCTCTTCTGATGGATGGGTTTCCCCCTGTTCTACAAACAGGTGTCTTTGGGGTCTTCATTTTCTCCGCCTGCTGACACTCTTCAGTTCATCCAGCTCTTTCTCCATTAAGTGGGATTCAGCAGTGGTCTCCGAGAGCTGGAAGAAGAGCAGCAAACCGTTAGAGACGGGGATGTTTCAGGGCCATGATTCAGGTCGGCAAGGCCAGCCCTGTGCGCTGGGAAAGGCCCCTGGCATTCCTCTAATGCTGCCGGTGCCTCCAAGGCAGGAACCCCTTTGTAACTGGGCAGAAAGTAATCTCCTGAAGACCCAGGGCCTCAAGCACTTGCGGAGCACTCACCATCCATTCTCTCATCATTTCTTATCACCTAGGATTGTGTGGCACCCACTGTGTTAAGGACACCAGGTTTCAAGGGATGAAAAGCACAGATATTGGTGGTTTCAAGGCTAAAGGACTAAGTTGCCTCTGAGTCGTGGCTCACGTAAAAATGGTTGAAAAAGAATGCCACTCCCCTCATTAGGATCCCTCACTTGTCTCTGGAGGAGAGGGTGGAAGACGTTGCAGACAGGGATGGAGAGACACAGACTCCAGAGGTCAGCTGACTGAAACAGAAGAGCTGCACTTCCCGAGCCAGACACTATTCCCAGAGCTTTACTTGTATTATTAACTCAGTAATGAGGTGGATCCTCTTTTCGGGCCCATTTTACTGCTGAAGACACTAAGCTTCTTGACACAGAGCAGTTAAGTAACTTGTCTGAAGTCACACAGCCAGGGGCGAAGGTGGGTCAGGGACCCAGGCAGTTTAGCTACAGACACAGGCTCTTAAACACACGGCAGGGTGCCCTCCTGCCTCTCCTGAACCTCCACATACACCTCTAGGTTCAACAGGCCGTTGGGTTTTAAAAGCCACAAGAAACGGATGCCAACAGGTGGTGTGGCTCTGTGCAGGTCTTCGCCAGGCTCCAGTTAAGGCTGCGTGGTGCGGGTCCCTGCCCAGCAAGGAGCAGACTGTCCTTCAGTCCTGAATGCCTTCCGGCCGCCATTCCTCGCTTTATCTTTCCTTAAATACCCCTTCCCACGATGGGCTCCTGACTGGACAGAATGAAGCTCTCCCTCCCCTTGGCGGATTCCAGGCCTGGACAAGACTCTAATCTCTGTCCTTACCTGAGGCACGTGTCACCGTGTTTGCTGTCTTTCTCTCAATTAGACTCTGAGCCCTGGAGGGCGGGGGCTGTGTCTGCCTTGGTTTCGTATCTTTGGAGGCAGAGCAATGTGCCTGGGCAAGCTGGCACTCGAGAGCGTGGGCTGGTTGAAATGACTCGCGGGAAAGCTGCCCAGGGAAAGCCAAGGCATCGCCCCCCGGATGCACTCCTCACCATGTCCAGCAGGATGTCCACCTTCAGCCGCAAGAGGTTGTTCTCTTCTTCCAGCTGCTGGTTCCTTCTCCGCAGGCGCTGAGTCTCCCTCCGGTCCACACCTCCACTAACCCCCGTCTCTGGCAGAAGGGTACAACCAGCGGTCACCAAGTGCGGGTTGCCTTCCACCATCATGCTGGGGCAAAATGGCAGGAAATGCAGCCCACCTGCTATCCACTGGCCATTCTCAAACTTCAGGCTCTGCCCGGCCAGGTTCATGGTGGGGGTTCCGTAGTCAAGGCCCAGTTCCACCTCCCGCGTTGACCGGTCCAACTGTGGGTGAGACATTCACACCGGCATCAGGCGGCCAGAGTACCCAGGCTTGTGGTCCAGCACCCCTTCTGCTAGCTAGGAGACCCCCTGCATGCACTCAGTCGCATCAGACTCTTTGTGACCCCCCCAATTGTAGCCTGCCAGGCTCCTCTGTCTATGGGATTTTCCTAGCAAATACTGGAGTGGGTTGCCATTTCCTCCTCAAGAGGATCTCCCCAACCCAGGGACAGAACCTGGGTCTCCTGAATTGGCGGGCGGGTTCTTTACCCCTGTGCCACGTGGGAATCCCTGACTATGTGACCCCCAACAACTCATTTCTTTTTCTCTAATCATAACTCCGCACATTTAATAAGTTTTTTTTTTTTCAAATAAAGTCAGAAAATTAAGGTACCGAAAAAGTTTTAAACTATAAAAGAAAAGTACTGCTTTATATAATAAGTGTTTTCCTATATATGCTGAAATTTGCAAACTGAATTATTTCATATCTACAGGGCACTTGGCAGTTTAACAAGTCTCACCGTAAATTTTTCGCCAAGTGAAAAATCCTTTTTAAATGTAAGCTTGAGCCATCACTTGCTTCCTATGGAGCTACATATGTCCTGGAAAAGGCATGAAGTGCTAAGTCCCAACTAGTGGTAGCAGCTGTTCTTTAATGTGTTTTTCAACGTTTCTACAGCTCACTGAGCGCCCACCGTGGGCCAGGGCTGGTACTGGATACACAGAAATGAATGCAACCCTTCTACCCTGGAGGAGCTTGGAAACTGCCTTTGGAGCTGTGGCAAATCCTTTTGAACGTTTTTAATGTTGGCAAAACATCATCCTTTGAGAACGAATTTGTTCTCAGACATGACTAAAAAACTGATTTCCTGGCCAAGTCTTGGGAATCAAGTGAAGTCAAATTGGATAAGATCCTTTGGTCTCCAAAATCATAATGAGAATGACTATCTTTTAAGGTTCTTGAACAGTTCTGATAATAATTTCCAAACAGGAGTTAAGACATGGTTTCAGCAATAGCAATCATATGAATTAAAAGGATACCCTCCCACGAGGATGCCTCTGGAGGACCACACTTTCCATAAGAGGCCAGGCTCAAGGCTCTGTTCACACTGCACACCACTGTTGATACTCACATTATGCAGGTTGGAGAGAGAGGCCGACTTCCGAGGGGGCGTCTTCTTCGGACTAAACGTACTTCCAAAGAGAGGCATCTTCAGCCTGATGAAGGAAAGGTCAATGCTCCCTTCTCCCAGGGTCAGAAAAAGTCAAGGGTTACAAAGAGTTGGATCAGTGACCTTGTGCCTCTGTCCTGAAATCACGAAAACACACATTCTATCATGTGACCATTAACTGTCCTGGTGACAGCTCCCCTGTGCTGAGTGCTCACGATGTGCTAGGCAGCATGCCCAAACCTTGGCAACATCTCAGTCCTCACAATCACCCTTGGTTCAGCTCCTCTTAGTATACCTATCTAACAGATGAGGTTTAGAAAGACTATGGGCCTAAGTGGGAGCTGGTATTTGAACACAGGTCTGTGTGACTAGTCTATGTCAACCACAGGTAAGTGCCTAACTGGCTTGTCTTAAGTTTCGTTAAAAACTGGCATCACCAGATTTATAGTCTAGACCAAGGCACTAGAAGGACTCTCAAGAGAGTCCTTTGGACAGCAAGGAGATCAAACCGGTCAATCCTAAAGGATATTAGCCCTAAATATTCATTGGAAGGACTGATGCTAAACCTCCAATAATTTGGCCACCTGATGCAAAGAACTGACTCACTGGAAAAAGACCCTGATGCTGGGAAAGATTGAAGGCAGGAGGAGAAGGGGGTGACAGAGGATGAGATGGTTGGATGGCATCATCGACTCAATGGACATGAGTTTGAGCAGACTCTGGGAGACAGTGAAGGGCAGGGAAGCCTGGTGTGCTATAGTTCATGGAGTCGCAGAGAGTTGGACACCACTGAGTGACTGAACAACAACAAAAGGCGTGAGATCCTTACTCCTGGACACTGGTAAGGCTCACACCTGGGGCAACAGCTTCTACATATACTCCATTTTAAAGAAATAAAAGCTTTTTCTGGGAACATGCCTTTTTGCTTTCTTATTGGTTTCTTTTTGATTAAAGAAGTTCTTCATTTTAGTGGGATCTGACTAATTAAATTTTTTTAATGATTAGTGTTTTTTATTTAAGAAATTTTTGCATACCCTAAGGTCATGATATTTTCATACATTAACTTTTGAAAGTTTCCTTCTTTCAGCTTTCACACTTAGGACAGCCACTCATCTGCAATTAACTTTTTTTTTTTTTTTTGCAATTAACTTTTGTATGTGATGAGAGGCAGGGCCACGGCTCCTTTCTTTCCCTGTATTGCGTGTGTGTGTTATTCGCTCAGTGGTGTCCGACTCTTTGCAGCCCCATAGACTGTAGCCCGCCAGGCTCCTCTTCCCATGGAATTCTCCAGGCAAGAATACTAGAGTGGGTTGCCATTCTCTTCTCCAGGGGATCTTCCCAACCTAGAGATCAAACCCTGCTCTCCTGCATTGCAGGCAGATTCTTTACCATCTGAGCTACCAGGGAAGCCCAATTTTAATGTACATTACACAGATAGCTTAACAAGATTCCCTCTAAGAAACTGTAGAATGACGATACCAATAATGAAGGCACAAATGAGCAAAAAGAAAGCAGCAGAGCTCTCACCTTTCCTACTCCCAGGGATAAAATCTTCCTTCACCACATCAAGAGATAAAATGGTAATTTTATCATATCTAGCAAGAAATTGGCCAAAGAGAGAGGGAACTTCTCAAGACTACTTGAAACAAGGTTTTATATCAACTATTATTAAAAAATAATTCGTAGCTTTTCTTCACAATTAGCAAGACATATATTTAACAAGGACACAAAGAAAAAACTTCATACTGTTTTCAGTGATGTAGAAATTAATATCAATGAAATTAATGATAAAAGTTTAGAAGCTTCTTTAGAAGCTTTACAATATAGATATATATATATGTATAGAAGTATATGTACATATGACTTACAAATAAATAAAACACATAAGACATTTAGGGGTGTGTGCTCATGAGTTTTACTGGTGTGTGTATGTGATTAAAAACACAGAGATAGAAAACAGACTTGTGGACACAGTGGAGGAAGGAGATGAGACAAATTGAGAGAGTAGCATTAAACATATGCATTACCATATATAAAAAAGATAACTAGTGGGAAGTTGCTATATAACACAGCTCAACCCAGTGCTCTGTGACAACCTAGAGGGTTGAGATGGGCTGGGGGGTGGGAGGGAGGTTCAAGAGAGAGGGGAACATATGTATACTTATGGCTGATTCACACTGTTGTGCAGAAACCAACACAACATTATAAAACAATATTCCTCCAAAAAACCATGGTAGACCCACAGCCTGAGAGATGGCATTTGGGCTGGGGCGTAACACTTTAGGACTTGGACAAACCAGAATGCTTCCATCTTGATGGTGGGTGGGACAGCAGTGGGGACCGAGATCTTGAGGGTGTTTGAAGCCGTGCTACTATGTCATCCAAAACATCGTGGAAGGCCCTGGCATTGTTTCTGCAGGAGAAAAGAAAAATCATGGAAGAGGGAAGACAATTACTCTTATGTCCACAGAGGGCAGAACAGGAATGAAATAGGAATACCCAGGGAGAATGATTTTCACCGAAAAAATAAAAGGTCATAACAAAAAGTAACTAATTAATATCACTTCTTGAGTGTCCATAAGAGGTTGGACCCAATGCTGGGGACACTTCATATATTTATTTTATTCCTTGCAGGAATCCCATAAGGTAATTTTCCTGTCCATATCAGAAACGAGAAAACTAGGACTTGAAGAAGTTATCCAGTTTTCCCAAGGTTCATAACCATGGTCAGTTGGCTAAACATGTATACCAAATTATCCTTGTATTAATAACTGGTGGGGTACATCATAAAAAGAAGCATTTTCATCCATCATGTTGGCAACATTTAAGAGATCAATAATACAATGTTGGTGAAGGTATGGAGACAAAGATACTCTTGGTGGAAACATAAGATGCTATCATTTTTTTCCATTAGGCAAAACCTAGTAAAGTTTTTCAGATGCATAGTTTTTGGCCAGCAAATCTACTTGTAAAAATTTATCCTCCAGAAAGAATTGGACATGTTCAACACAAATATTCTCTGTTGTTGGTAGCAGTCAAAAATAAGAAACAATGCAAAAGCTCTACTGATGTTTGGTATAGCCAAATACATTATGGCACATTATTATAAGGGAACACTAGATAATAAGTAAAAACAAAGAGACAGGCATAGGTGTACTGACTTGAAAAGACATCCAACACACTCTATCATTAAGAAAGCAAGTGATAGGGACTTCCCTGGTGGTCTGGTGGCTAAGACTACACACTTCCAATTAAGGGGGCATGAGTTCGATCTCTGATTGGGGAACAAAGATTCCATATACCACATGGCATGACCAAAAAAAAAAAAAAAAAACAAGCAAGCAACAGAACCATGTATACATTATAATTGCACATGAGAAGACAAAAAGGAAAAAAAAAAAAGCAAGAACATAGGTCTCTAAATAAAAAAGATTTGGAAGGATAAACACCAAACTGCACATAGTGGTTAAATCTGGGAAAGGAAGTAGGATGGCTGACTCAACTGAATTTGCCATTTTTAAACAGATTTTTTTAATTTTAATTTTTTTGGCTGTGTCGGGATCTTTACTTCCCCAACCAGGGATGGAACCTGGGCCCCTGGCAGTGAGAGCATGGAATCCTAACCCCTGTTCTGCCATCCTAATTCCTGAATTTGCCATTCTAAAGGTTAAAAAAAAAACCCAAAATGGCCAAATAGTGGCAATTTCATGTTATAATATAAAGTTATATTAAAGAAATGTTTGTGGATTTAATGAATTACAATGACAATATATTCATGCATAACTTATGAAAACAAACCAAACTAATGTACAAAAAAAGACCAGATAAAAAGCAGTCCCTGCCCCTTCAAGCACCTGGAGACATCTGAGGAAGGAAAAATAAGCCAAGCTGTTCATGCAAAGTCCACAGTGGTGCTAAGAACACCAAGACTGAGCATAGCACCTGGCTACATCAGGCCACGTTCGAGGCCCAGTTCTGCCTCAGCTGCTGGCTAAACCTTGGCCAAGCTACTGTAGTCTTCCAGGTTTTAACTTATTGCTGACTGGGTGGACTTTTGCAGAATCTAACGCCTATGGCCGGCGATTTGTTATGTAAGTGAATACATCTCTGGTCAATAACGTTCAGGAAACAAAGCCTCTCTGGTAAATAATGTGTTCACAAGGGCACTTCACCCATGACCTCACAAATTCTCATAACACTGAAGCCAACGCCCATCATCAATATATCACAGTCAGGGAAAAGGAAGGGTCTGGACTAACTTTTAAGTCAGATCCACTAAGCCAACTCTGGCTGAGACCCTGAAATTCTGGAACATGAGTGTGGGTCAAGAGGTACGAGCTCTACCCCTGGCCCCAGGCAGCCGTCTTTCCAGTGAAATTCCCTGGAGAGAGAGGGCTCAGCACAAAGGAAGCCACTGGAGAGCATCCGAGTTCCAACTTCGCTCTGCCGTTCACCCCCGGGGGCTCCTGCACTTACTTCTCTGGGCCCCAGGCTTCTTTATTTAAAACCAGGGCTTCCCTGCTAGCTCAGTTGGTAAAGAATCCGCCTGCAGCGCAGGAGACCCCGGTTGGATTCCTGGGTTGGGAAGATCCACTGGAGAAGGGATAGGCTACCCACTCCAGTATTCCGGCCTGGCGGAAGAAGAACAAGTAGTTTTTTCCCATCTACAGATCAGAAAACTGAGGCTTAGAGAAGTAACGTGCCTCCAGTCACGCTGTGGGAAGGCGGTGGAACTGGGCTTCAAACAAGGTCTACGCATCTGCACTGATGATCATAATCATTTCTTCACTGTGCAATGCTTTACCGTTGCAATGGGCCGTAAAATACAGTATTTTCTTTTAATCTAACAAGAAAGTGAGAAAGAAGTCTCTAGCTTTCACCGGAATCTCAAAGACTTCAGAGCCAAGCAAGTACATGCCACTCAGGTACATGGCCACCACTCAGGGCTGTTAACTAACCGTAGCGAGCGTTCATTCGCGCGCTCTCGTTAATCACCTTCATAGCTGACCTACGAGCGGAATTACCACCCAATTTACAAACGAGGAAACACACTACGATAAATGCGGTGCACGGCCTGCGGAGAACCCGGCCCCCGTCCCCTGCTCCGCGCCCTCCGGTCGCTCCAGCTGCCGGGAGGCCCTAGGTCCCCGGGGAACGCCGGTATCCCACCCTTTCTCGGACCCTCGGGCGATGCTGGGCTCAGAGACGTACCTGACGTGCCCCAAAGTCGGGGGTTCCAAGCAAACCCCCGACCTCCCGCCTGGTACCCACCACAGGCCGAGTCAACCGCGGCCAGAGCGAGCCCGGGTGTCGCCCTGCCGTCACGCGCATGCGCGGGCGCAGCCCCGCTGGGTTCTACCACCGAGAGATTTGGAGGTACCCGGCGCCGCGCGGTCCCCATCGCGAGCCTATGCGAAGCGCCAGAAACTCTTGAGGACGGATCTTGACATACTCAATAGACTCCACAGAGGCAGTGTCTTCTGGAGTCACTTGGGCTATAGGCAAGGTCGAGAAACCACACTCACTCTCCCCGCAACCCCCTTTGTCTGGTCTCTCCCCGGCCTACGGGGACCGTCGCCATGGTAACGGCGTGTCACGGATGCAGGCGAAGCTCGCGAGGCCCCGCATTGTTGTGGGAAAAGGTACAAGTGTCGGCTGTGTCCCGCGTTGCCGGGAGAACGTCAGGACTTACAGCAGCAAAATGGGCCTCTCCCAGACGTCCCTCCCCCTCTTCCTCCTCCCAGATCACAAAACAAAGGGCACCCCTCCCTGGTGGATGTGGGGGGCAACAGGTCTCGGGTGTCCCATCCAGAACTTCACGGGGTCCCCTGAGGGCCCCGTGGCGGAATCGGCGCTGCCGAGTTCCGCGGATTCCGACTGCAGTCTTCAGGTAAGATGAACAGACACAGACCATGACCCTGCCTTCCCACGCCCCATCTCTCGTCGGCTTTGACAGGTGGGGGAGACTGAGGCCGGGGGCCGCTTCAAGGTCGCACTGTGAGCAGGGTGCGGAGAACTACTCGAGAATCGACTCCAGATCTCCTAAAATCCTAACTGTGTGTTTGATAAACATTCCATTTGATAAACGAAGAAACTCGGGCTCATTCAAGGGATATTTACTGGGTGCCTAGTGAATGCACCAGGTCATCCAACCAATGAGGGGCAGGACCCATGGGTCTCTGGCTCCAAGAGAATTTTCTTCCAACTATACCTTACTTCATTGAAAAGGGGAAAGTTCCATGTCCTGGAACCAAACTGCCTGGTCTAACCCAGTACCATTCAATGGAAACATAATGTGGGCCACATACATAATTTATAATTTTATCGGAGCCATATTTTAAAAAAATTCTTTTGAAAATCAAGTGCTATTGCTATGAATAATGTTTATTTTCACTCTTACGTCCCAAATATGATCATTTCAATGTACAATCAATATTTTAAAATTTATTCTTCTTTAGGTTTTAAATTTTAATTAACTAAAATTAAGATGTTAGGACTTCCCTAGTGGTCTAGTGGCTAAAACTCCACGTTCCCAATCCAGGCAGCCCAGGTTTGATCCCTTTTCAAGAAACCAGATCTCGTGTGCCGAGGCAAAGAGTTCTCATGGTACCGCTAAAAGGTGCCACAAGGAAGATCAAAAGATCCCGTGGGCTGCAACTAAGACCCAGCACAGCCAGATAAATAAATTTTTTTTAAAAAAGATTTTAGTTGTTTGGTCACACTAACCAAATTCCAAGGACTCAGTTGTCACATGTGGCTGGTGGCTGCTGTGATGCACAGGTCTAGACTTTTCTGGTTCTTCTACTCTGTGTCCCTCTGCTTGGATGGTATTTCCCTTCCTCATTTATCTGAGTAACTCCTGCTCTTCCGACACGTTGTGACACCTTGACTAGGTCGATATCCACTATTACGTCGCCTCTCACAGCGCTGTGTCCCTCCCTTTGAGGGACAGTGTGCTCAGTCGCTAAGTCATGTCTGACTCCTTTGTGACTCCATGGGCTGTAGCCCACCAGGTTCCTGTGTCCATGGGATTTTCCAGGCAAGAATACTGGAGTGGGTGGCCATTTGAAGCAGTGGTCAGTTATAATTCATGCTTCCCAGGTGACGCTAATGGTAAAGAACCCTCCAAAGAGTCGCAGGTTCAATCCCTGGGTCAGGAAGATCCCCTGGAGAAGGAAATGGCAACCCACTCCAGTATTCTTGCCTGGAGAATCCCATGGACAGAGGAGCCTGGTGGGCTGCAGTCCATGGGGTCACAAAGAGTCAGACAGGACTGAAAGCAACTTAGCACTAGCACATAATTAATTAGCACTTGTCACCTCTAGTTAACATAAGATCCATTAAGGCAGGGATCAAGTCTGGTTTCGTTCACCATCCTGTCCCCAGTAAGAATGAATTGCTGGTTCTGTTGGGCAGTCAGTAGGTAGTCATTTAATGACTGAAGGTTAAACTGAACAAAATCTGCCTGACTACAACCTCAGCATTGTTTTAACTTAACATGTTTAAGTTAAAACATTTAACTTTAAACAAAGGACTTACAAATCTCATGTGCAAGAATATGTGCTCCATGAGGGCAGAATGTTTTTTTATTCTTCCACTCATCTGCCCCTAATATACAGCACAGTCCTGGACACAGGGTAGATATTCAATGAAGTTAGTGTTCTCCCCATCCTCTTTTTCTCCCCAAGTAGTGACAGTAAAAACTTACCATGCTTCAGAGAATACTTACCCTAAAATAGTATGATGAAAAATTCAGAAAGGAACAGAGAATTTTAAATGTTTCGCTTAAGAAGCATAATATTCAGTTCTCCCATTAGACGTGAGTCAGTCAGTTCAGTCACTCAGTCGTGTCCGACTCTTTGTGACCCCATGAATCGCAGCACACCAGGCCTCCCTGTCCCATCACCAACTCCCAGAGACTACCCAAACCCATGTCCATTGAGTCGGTGATGCCATGCAACCATCTCATCCTCTGTCATCCCCTTCTCCTGCCCTCAATCCTTCCCAGCATCAGGGTCTTTTCCAATGAGTCAGATTGCATCAGGTGGCCAAAATATTGGAGTTTCAGCTTCAACATCAGTCCTGCCAATGAAATGTTAAACGAAAGCAAGAGGCTTCTTAACAGAGTCCCCCTAAGCCTGGCTTTTCAGAGAATGTTTTTAATTTTCCAGTTCATGTTGGGACAGGGGCATGGAAGAAAACTCAGAAGCACTGTATGGCTAAAGGTTAGGAGCAGAGTGTTGGCCTGGGCCAATCTTTCCTACAATCCAGCTGACTTGGGACAACCCAAATGGATAACCTCTTTGGCCCAAAAAGAAATGTGATGAGTTAGAAAGGGACTCAGGGAACTTCCCTGGTGGTCCAGCGGCTAAAACTCTGATCTCCCAATGGAGGGAGCCTGGGTTCGATCTCTGGTTGGAGAACTAGATCCCACATGCTGCAGCTAAGAGTTTGCATGTCACGACCTAAACCTCCTGCATGCTACAACTAAGACTCAGTGCGCCTAAGTAAATAAAATGTTTAAAAAAAAAAGAATCAAATATTGACTGAACCTACTTCCTAGAGGGTAATTTGCCTAATGAAGAAAGATGTGGAAGCAAATTCTTCTAGTTCAGGCTTGTAAGTGCTGTAATAGTTGCAAGCAGAATCCTGGCCTTCACAGAGTAGGTGTGGTACTAATGGCCTGGAGTAATTAAAGAAGGTTTTCTAAAAGATACATCACCTGGGCTGATTGAATGGGGGCAGCAGCATGTACAAAGGCATAGAGCACACAGCAGAGCAGGACCAGGAAGAAGCTGAGAGCAGCAGGCATATGGGATGGCTGGCTGGGGGAAGAGAGCAGAGCAGCAGGCAGGAATCGAAGGAGAGGAAAGGAGACTGTGGTAAAAGGGCACCTGATTAATTTTTTTCATCGAACTGTACCTTTTCTCTCTCCATCATGTATGAGCTTCTTGAGGGCAGACCTGAGTCTTTTACTTCATTATAACCAGGCCTATGCCCCCAGGCTCTGGACAGGGAGGACCCACAGATGGTAGTGATAAATTCCTCCTGGCCAGTAAGCAAGGACCCGGGAGAGCAGTCTGGCCAGCATATTCGAAATCCAGGAGGAGGAGAAGTGATGGGGCCAGCTTCTGGAGAGGGAGCAGAAAGCCTCAGGTCCATCAGGAGCCTCATGCTGAGGGGATGGACTGCCCACTCTAGCATCATAGAAGCCCAGTATCTGAAAGCTGAAGAGGGTCCTAGCAACCTAATCTACGTCTCTGACTTTGTAGGTGAGGCTTAGAGAGGCAAAGAGATTTGACTGCATTTCTAGTTTGAAATCTGGCTTGCTGGATGGTCTGGAGCCCCAGTCTTTTCAGCACTCTGCTCTCCTTTGGGCTTCCTGGGTGGCTCAGTGGTAAAGAATTCACCTGCCAATCCAGGAGACAAGGGTTCAACCCTAGAGAAGGAAATGCAACCCACTTCAGTATTCTTGCCTGGGAAATCCCATGGACAGAGGATCTTGGCAGGCTGCAATTCATGGTATCACAAAAGAGTCAGACATGACTTAGCGACTAAACATCAACAACCGTCTCCTTTTGTTTATTTATTTGGCCTTGCTGTGTTGCTTTCAGGATCTTAGTTCCCCAACCAGGGGTTGAACTTGGGCCCCTGGTAGTGAGAGCATTGAGATCTAACCATTGGACCACCAGGGAATTTCGTAGTCTCTTTATTTTTAAAATTAGGATAATTTTCATCAGAGGGTGATGGTGGGGATCGGTAGGTAGAAAGCAAAAGTGTATATGCCTTGAAGTTTTCAGTTAGGAACGTGGTACATATATACAGTGGACTATACGACACCCATAAGATAAAAAAATATGGTGGCACCGTGGTAAAGAATCCACCCACTAAGGCAGGAAATGCAGGAAGGAGACTCAGGTTCCATCCCTGGGTCAGGAAGATCCCCTGGAGAAGGAAATGGTAACCCACTCCAGTATTCTTGCCTGAAGAATCCCGTGGGCAGAGGAGCCTGGCAGGCCTTAGTCCATGCGGTCACAAGGAGTCAAACGTGACTGAAGCGACTTAGCACGCACGCTCCAGGCATCTTGTGTTCAGCCTGAGGTTACAATGCTGCAGCTGCGTGGGGACCTCAGTTCCTGCACAACTCAAAGGTGTGCATCTCTTGAGAAGCATGCACACACGTGTATGTAAAATAGAGAACTAATAAGGATCTACTGTGCAGCACAGGGAACTCTACTCAATACTCTATAATGACCTATATGAGAAAAGAATCTAAAAAAGAACAGATATATAACCGAGTCACTTTGCTGTATGGCAGAAACTAACACAACATTGTAAATCAACTCTATTCCAATAAAAACAAAAGAAGCAAAGAAAAAATAAAAGAATGGGTTTCTCTAAAAAGTCTTTATTCCCCATGTTGTATGCAGCGTGTGCCTCGCCATCAGCCCTGCTTGCGAGATGAACATGGTTGAGCTTTTTAAGTTGGTTCTGTGCTTATTTCTGATTTCCAGGAGGCTGGTTGAACAGAGAACAAGACCACAGGGGAAGAATGAGAGGCTCCTAAAGGTGGAAACTTAGCTGTTGGTCAGTGTACAATGTTCCCTGACTAGGGATTGAAACCAGGCACATACGGCAGTGAAAGTGTGCCAAGTCCTAACCACTGGACTGCTAGGGAATTCCCTTTCTTTCTTTCTCTCCCTTTCTTTCTTTTTAAAACTCCATTTGGGGGAATTCCCGGGTGGTCTAGTGGTTGGGACTTCACCTTTCAGTGCAGAGGGTGTGGTTCGATCCCTGGTCGAGGAGCTAAAATCCCACGTGCCTCATGGCCAAAATCCAAAACAGAACACAGAAGCAATATTGCAGCAAATTCAATAAAGAAAACAAACAAACAAATAACTCCATTTGACCTTTCTAACTTGCCAGCACCTCTACCTGGGCCAGACTTTGCCCCTTCTGGCATCATCCAGACTGTACCAGAATCTTCCTTCTCTGACTCTGGCCTCGTTGATCCGGATCTCACTTCCGACCCCGAATCTTATGTCTCAGAGACTCACAGAATCCCGTCTCTGGGGGACCATAAAACTCATGCAGCAAATAGAGACCGTCTTAGGTTATAAATAAGTCTGTCTTTCCATTTTCTATAGAGCTCATGTACCTTCGAGTCATGCTCCTGCCAGCCAAGCTGCGTGTATCTCTCTGCATCACCTCACTTTCTGGGCCTCTCTGAAACCCTTCTCAAGATGAGCACAAATGATCCCATGAGGATCTGCTTCAAGGTCTCATTTTCCTGGCCTTTTTCTAATGTGCCCTCTCTCTTAATCCCACACTCATCGCAACCTAAGCAATCCATTTCACTCCCTATGATTTGTCATGTCTCTCCTTGGCATCTTCATTTGTCAAGTGTCCTCCAATTTGTAAGAACACTTGAGGGTAATGGAAGTAACAGTGAGCCTGGCTTTACGTGAAGGCTATGAGGAGTGATGGATTATGGGGCTTTTACAAAGGCTATATCCTAGGCCACTTGAGACTACGACAGAAGAAATGCAAACGTAGAGAGGGTAATAAGAGGGGCCGTCAAACTGAGCAGAGATTTCCACAGTGATAAACAAGATCGAGATGCCCTTGGACCCAGTCATCCTTCACCTGAAAATCTCTCTTAAAGGAATAATCCCAAATAAGAAAACAGCTCTCGGTGTGGCTGTGTGCATCACAGCGTGATTTATAGTTGCAAAAAATGTAAATAACTTAAATATTCAATAGCCAAGGGACAGTTAAGTCTATTAAGATGCATTCTCTAAATGAATTTGTATACTGCCATTTAAAATATTACAAAGATTATGAAAAATGATCTTAATAATGAGTGGGGGAGAAGTCAGAGTAGTAACTAACATAGGCATACCCTGATGTTATAATTATGTAAAAAAGTATGTATGTAATAGTGCTAGAAGGAAGTCTCCCCATATCCTAATAAGTTGTTAGGGTGGTAGCATAATGGGTGATTCTTCTGTTTTTCAAGGTGTCTAGAATATGGTTAATTTTTGTTTACAATTTTTAAAGCAGCTCATTTAAGGCAAGATAAAAGAAGTGTGAATGTTTGCAGAGAAAATAATGGGGTGGGAGAAAGCACAGGAAGGAAGCGAGCTGCTGTCCTGGCCGGGCTCCCTCGGCCTGTTCTGTGTGTGTGATCATCACCCGAAAGTCTCCTTAACAGGCCCGCCTCCCAGCGTGCCTGGTCGGCTCCATTCAGCAGGTGAACCAGATGATTGCTGACATAGACCTGAGTCCCAGCCCACTGGCGCACAGCCTGGTGAGTTTTGCATGCTAAGGTAAGGCTTCCAGGAAGAAAGGACCCTACGGACCCCTTTATTAATTTGAAAGCACGTTTGCACAACAGAAGTCTCAAACACATGTTTCTTTAAATTCATAAACTTTTATTTTTATCTATATAAAAGTCCTATTTTTTATATGTGATTTGGCTATGGCAAAATCAATTTAACTCTTCCCTAATTCCTTATTTCAGTGCCATTTTCATCATAGTAAACATGTGAATATTTTTGTACATGTATCTTGGGACTCATTTGCAAGTGTTTCTGCCAGATAGAGCCCTGGAAGTGAAATTTAAAATTTTGATGGATACAGCCAAGTTGCCTTTCACAGAGGTTAAGCCACTCTATACTGAAGCTGGAAGGAAACCATGAGCTTTAGTTCTCCCTTACCCCACTGTTGAGCAGAGCTTAGAATTGAATTGTGAATAAAAGCAAAATACACACACACACTATTTGGAAAAATTTTGTTTAAGTTCAAAAGCACTCTGTCTCTGTATGTGTGCTCTGTACATGTGCATGAGGGTGTATGTAGCTCCAGAGGCTTAGAATAAGACTGTCAGAGTTTGAATTCCTGCTGCCCTACTGTTCTCGCACATTCTGACATTAGGTAAACTGTTGAGCCTCTATGAGTCTCAGTGTCTTGTAAAATGATGATAACATTGATACTATATCTACTTCATAGATGTATTATTATCAATGCAAGAATTAGATGAGTTAAGTAAGTAAGTTCAGTTGCTCAGTTGTGTCTGGCTCTTTGCGACCCCGTGGACTGCAGCACGCCAGGCTTCCCTGTCCATCACCAATTCCCAGAGTTTACTCAAACTCATGTCCATCATATTGGTGATGCCATCCAACCATCTCATCCTCTGTCATCCCCTTCTCCTCCTGCCTTCAATCTTCCCCAGCATCAGGGTCTTTTTCAGTGTATCAGGTGGCCAAAGTATTGGAGTTTCAGCTTCAGTATCAGTCCTTCCAATGAATATTCAGGACTGGTTTCCTTTAGGATGGACTGGTTGGATCTCCTTGCAGTCCAAGGGACTCTCAAGAGTCTTCTTCAACCTCACAGTTCAAAAGCATCAATTCTTCAGCGCTCAGCTTTCTTTTCGGTCCGACTCATCTTAATAGATGAGTTAAGACTCTCAAAAACCCTTAGATTGTGCCTGGCTCTCAGGAAGGACATCATATGTGTGAATGTGTAGGGAAAGAGTCTGGAAGGATACATGCCAAATGGAGTCAGTTCTGGAAAGGGAGTGGGATGGAAGATGGGTAAAGTTTTTACTCCAAGTATGTCTATAATGTTTGGGTATTTTACAACAAGACTGTATTTATATGTCAGTTCTGTGGGGTTGTTCTGATAATTTTAGAGCCAGGGAAATGATTATTATCCTTCCAGTAGCAGGATCTGGTGACTTTTCAAGGCTGCCCAGCATTGGCACAGCTTCTCCACCTTCTTCACTGCCAGTCAGAGGCAGGACAGGGTTGGCAGGAGCGACCGTGGGTCCTCACATGACCTGGAGGAAGGGGGGCTTTGTCTTTCCTGCTCCCCTGTCCAGGCAGCCTATCAGACCTGGCGGGTGCTGACTGCCTGCTGCCACCAGAGCCGTCCCCTGGTGACCCTGCCCAACCTCTGTGACCGCAGTGTGCCCTGACCTTCATACATCAGCCTTGACCATGGGACCGTTCCTCCCACGTCAGCAGCTGAGCCAGACTGCTGTCTCCAGGCTCCACACTGCCCTACCAGAGGGCATCTGGCGCAGTACCAGACGCATAAAACGTGTTCAGTGGATGTGTAGTAAGCGAGCCATCTCCTTCTGAGATCCAGACCCCCCTGCCTGCTTTACCCTTAGCCATATCCTGTTTCTGTCCCTTCTCCCACGCCCCGAGTGTGGGTTTCCCCTCCAGTCTCTGGCTGTGAACTTGCCTAGCTCTTCTTTCCAGTCTCATTCCCTCGGGAGCTTGTGCACTCACCACTGCAGCTTCACCATTCACTCCCACAGTAGGGAGTAGGGCATACCTTCCTCTGTCTATAGGCCATAGCCTCTGGAAAGGCCTTCCTTGCACCCTCCACCCCAAGACCAGTGTAGGTGCCCCTTCAGGGCACACTCCTGACCCCTGTCCCCCACCCCCAATAGCACTGATTACCTTGGTCACCTCGCAGTCACTGGCTTCTCCCTGCTAGTCTCTGAGACCTCAGAGGACCAAGATGGGCTTTGATGCCCATGGCTGCATCTTCAACACTGGCCCAGTGTCTGACTTTTAGTAGATGCTCAGGAAATATTTGTGGAATGAAGGATATGTTTGCAAATTTGAGCTTCTCACCCGTATTTCAGTCTCAGATTACTAGTTACCTAGAGCAGTGATACCTAAACCTAACTGATCATCAGACTCCCCTGGGAGCTTTTTGAAAAACTAAAAGTGATAAGGGCCAGGTGCAGACCTGTGTGCTGTGTATGCTCTCATCTGAATCAGTACAGAATATCTCTCGAAAACCTCTAGAAAGCTATGTAAGAAACTAAGAATCTTGAGTGAGCAGTAGGAAGGCGACTTCTTTCTGTGTTTGATTTTGTACCATGTATAATACTTATGGTTTTAAATTTTTAAGTAGAGAACAATTCAGAGCCACAATAAACAAATAGTTCAAAACCCAATAAGGAATGATGTTTATTTCAATGAAGAATCAGTTCAGTTCAGTCGCTCAGTTGTGTCTAGCTCTTTGCGACCCCATGGACTGCAGCATGCCAGGCTTCCTTGTCCATCACCAGCTCCCAGAGCCTGCTCAAACTCATGTCCATCAAGTCAGTGATGCCATCCAACCGTCTCATCTTCTGTCATCCCCTTCTCTTGCCTTCAATCTTTCCCAGCATCAGGGTCTTTTCTAATGAGTCAGTTTTCATCAGGTGGCCAAAGTATTGGAGCTTCATCTTCAGCATCAGCCCTTCCAATGAATTTTCAGGACTGAATAAATATCTCTAATAAATGCATATATCTGAATAATTCCCCAGCAAGGCTGGTCACCAGCCAGGCTTGGGAGTTGCTTTCTAGGGAACAGCCCTACCTGTAGGTCCTTCTGTCGTCTCAAAGGCAAACTCAGGTCTCATCATTTTCTCCCTAAAACTTATTTTTCCTCCAGGAATCAACGTTCCTTTCTGTTCTTTCTCTGTGGAAATCTTGTCCGTTCTTCCAGGCCCTGCTAGTGTCAGCTACAGTGACATCCTGGTGGATGGCAGAGGCATGGCTGTATTGTCATGTTGACACTCACCCATCCAATTCATTCATCCATCGTGCCTTCTCTGATGCACGTGACTGGGGCCACAGTGTTGGTGCAAAGACTTATCAGTGTGACCCCTTTCCCGACAGGCCCACACACCTGCACACATCCCAGTACCTTTAGCTCATCTCGCAGACTGGGGCTGCCAGTTCAGGAGGAAGGTAGTGGTAGGCTGGAGAAGCGTTTCACGGTTTATCAAGCTAAGGAGAGCTGCCTCCTACCTTATCCCCAACACTCATACTTGACCTTTTCTGGCCAGTCCTCTCTGCTCCAGCCCATACTGATCCCACTCATTTTAATCCTAAATGTTTAGGACTTAATTGTCCCATATATGTTGATTTGGTTCTCTGAATAGACTGGAAATTCCTTGAGGGCAAAGACGTAGAATCATACTTGATTAACTTCATTATCCCAGCTTAGCGCTGGGCTGGTTGACAGTCAATGCAACTTGTTGGGTCACTGACATTCATTTTTCTTTCCTCCCTTATTATCAGGGCTGGGGGAGCGGGGAGGAGAAATCAGAGATCAAGAGAAATCTCTTGAGAGGTCGGGGTATGGTGATGATTAATAATAGTTACTCTTTATTAAGCAGCTCCTATCTGAAAGCCTACGGAGTGCTAGTGTTTTAAAACGCATCAGATTCTTTATAGTAGTATCTCAACCTTATAAAAGCACTGGGGGGTAGGTGTTACTATCCCCCTGTACAGAGGTTAAACCGCAGCTTGTCACCCATGGAGCCATGATTGGAAGCCTGCTCCAGATCCTGTGTTCCTCGGGAGTGTAGCCAGGAGGAGGGGCAACGAGGGAAAAGGTGGGGATAGGGGACATAGTGGTGGTGAGCCTCAGGGGGATGAGGTCAGTGACACACAAGGCCACCAAGGCCCTACCACCTAGTGGGGAGACAGCAAGGCCCTGCCACAAACTTTGCTCCAGGCCTTTTGCGCACCGGCAGGAGAAATGGCCTAGTCCCTAACCCCTGCCCTCCCCTCAGATTTGCACTAAAACCCTAAAACCCCATTTCTTTTTTGGTTTTTGAAGGCAATTGAGAAATATGAGATGGAGAAGAAGGCTTTAAAAAGAGAGCGAAGTCGCGGCGGCTTGGCAGACAGAGGCAAAACTCCTTTCCTGTAGCCTTGATGGTGTTTTTGTGGGGTTTGGTTTTTTTTAGTGTCTAAAATGTAATTGAGTAGGAATCTGGAGTTTCAGGTGAGAGTATCTTTGGCCTCTTCTGAGAGAGCCTTTAATCTCACTTCTTGGTATCAGGCAAGGAAGGAGGGAGGGACAGTACCATTTCGAGACGACCTGCTGGGGGACACCTTGCACTAGGTGTTTTCATACAGATCCCCTTGTTAAAGCTTCCTAAGACCCCCTACCTGTGAGGCAGGTGCCTTCGAATGTGTTTTATACTTGAGAAAAGGTAAGGGAACCACTTGCCGAGAACCAAAAGGCCTGTTCACTGCAGGTCTTGGATTCGCCCCAGACTGACTTCAAAACCCATGTTTTATCTGCTCCTCCTGACTGCTTCTCTGAGCTCAAAAGCAGTCTGATCAAATAAGAGGGGAGTCTTAGCAAGTCAGCAACCCAGGCAAACTAATAGTGCGTATGCCATCTGGCTGCTCAGGATGAATGAAAAATCACAGGTATGATTACCACACAGCCGTGGGCACACCCCGTGGTTACTCACATCCTATTTCTCTTCTTTCATTCTCCTGCAGAAAAGAGCGAAGGAAAATCACAGTATATTTGCAAGGGCTCAGAATTCAGGAATGTCAAATCTTTCGTTATCAAAAGGGTAAGGGACCTCTTACTGGGTCGGTTTCTGCTGGGCCTGAACTACATTTTATTCCCAGGAAAAGGCCCCTTGGCACCTGGGTGGTGACTATGTAGGAAAATGGCAGAGTACCTGTTTTAGAAAATCTTAGCCTATCTTAACGTCTAATTCAATGGACATGAACTTGGGCAAACTCTAGGAGATGGTGAGGGACAAGGAGGCCTGGCATGCTGCAGTCCATGGGATCACAGAGAGTCGGACACGACTTGGTGACTGAACAACACCAATGTATTTTAATAACTTTAGAATTTCTCATAACACCTCAAAAAGGTAGAATCAAGAGGATTCCAGAGGTCAGTTGTCTGTTTATTTTTAGAACTTAGAAACTGTTTACCCTTAGAAACAACGAATTCAGCTTCAGTTCACACAGAGCCACCATCCTGCAGAGCTCCCGGAGGTGCATTCCCACAGCAGTTTTTATGGGTCACTGCAGACACCCCAGGGAAATGACAGTCAGGAGCAGTCAGAGGACCCATCCAGCGTCATGCAGCCTGCTGGTGACAGAGCCCCTGCCTCTCGCTCAGATCCCCACGCCTGGGGTCTTGCTCTCTCAGCGGCCTCTGCAGAAGCACTCTGGCCCCATCTCATAGCTGCCCCAGTAAGATCCTCCTAAGTGCTGTCGCTTCAGTTGTGTCTGACTCTCTGCGGCCCCATTGAGCCTGCCAGGCTCCTCTGTCCTTGGGATTTCCCAGGCAAGAATACTGGAATGGGTTGTCATTTCCTCTAGGGGATCTTCCTGACCCAGGGATCGAACCCACATCTCTTGACTCCTGCATTGGCAGGCGGGTTCTTTACCACTAGCGCCCTCTGGGAGGCAAGATCTTCTTAGGAAGAGCCTAAGAGCTTAGGCTCCGTTTAAACTACCCAGCTCATGTGTATTCAAGCCTTTAAATGCTGGAGAATATGTTACCCTTTTTTCACCTTATAGCCTGGAAAATTCCCACACAGCATAGAGCCCGATGGTTGTGGGTCTACATCGAAACTGTCATACGACCCAAGATAGTGGCCGAGCAGGTCTAAATGTCCTGTCCATAGCGGCCCAGCCAGTACATGGGGGAGCTGACATCTGACTCAGTCAATGCAGTTAGTCACTCAGTTCTTCCATTGTCAAGGCCATAGCCCAGTTTCCGAGGAACTCAGTCCCTCAGAATGTTTCCAGGAGGTGCCTTTCGGTCATGGTTATTGATCTCCTCTTCCTACTTTTCTGTATTTTTACATTTTTATAGTCATATTTTTATCCTAAAATCCATTTAATGATATATATTAAGAACCATAGAGGTGGGGTGGTCATATCCTTTGACCCTAATAGTGCCATTTTGAGAAATTAATGCCCATTTTGGGAAATTCGTGCCAAGTAAATAAGCTCAAATGGGTGAAGCATATGGTCCCAGTTAGTAATAAATAATATTTATTTGAACTCATCTGTGAGTAGTTAATTAAATTATAGCACATCTTAACAAGATATACTACTTTAAATGATAAATTTGAAGACAGTGAGGCAATGTGAAAAATCCAAGGGGATAAAGCAAGACATAAAAGTGTGTGTGCATATATGTATTGTAAAATGATTGAAGTAACACATGCGTATGTGTATACATGTGCTCAAAGCCTGAAAGGAAAAGTCGAAATATTGTAAATAGCTGTTGGATGAGGACTGCTGGGATCACGCACACACTCTCATTTTCTTCAACATCCTCTAAGATTACTAATATTGTCTCCATGATAAAAAGGAGAAGATATTGTGTTGTTTTAAACTGTCAAAATGAGGGACCCCATTTTCATATCCTGTTTTTTGTCTTTAGAAAACAGCCGATAAAAATCTCCTGGCAGAGCTGTACCAGTACCCATCCTTTGACGACTCTAGGCCAAACAATCTTCCAAATGGGGTAGACTTCTGTGACTTGGTGGGCAACGTGATCCTGGCTGAGAAAAACCCCCTTAGCGGCAAGGTAAGAAGAGAGAGCCCTCTGGGGCGCCCGCCTGCATGGGACACACCACTGTCCCAGTCTTATACCCCAGGGATCTGAGTCGGGCACATAAGTTGCTGAGGGCCACAGAGTTTGCAAGTGACTGAGCTGAGATTAGACCAACGACGAAACCGACATCCTTTCTCCCAGTGCTCTGGGCTCCTAACCTATTAGTTAGTGCTATTAGGCTCCTAACCTAATAGCATGACCTATTAGTGTAGCATTTTGAGGTCACACCCTTGTGATATATGCTAATTAATGATGCATGTGTTCTGTTGTCAGTCACTAGGTTGTATATGGGTAACCTTAATTTTTTTCTTAATTAGACAATAGTTAGAATATTTACTTCCCTTGGATACCCCTTGAGGTGAGTCACCAGCTTGGAGAGCCGGGTTCCTTAGGAAGGAGAAAAGTAAAAGTGAAAGTCACTCAGTCGTGTCCAACTCTTTGCAACCCCACGGACTTTAAAGTTCCTGGAATTCTCCAGTCCAGAATACTAGAGTGGGTAGCCATTCCCTTCTCCAGGGGATCTTCCCAACCCAGGGATCAAACCCAGGTCTCCTGCATTGCAGGCAGATTCTTTCCCAGCTGAGCCACAGGGAAGGAGGAAAGAGAGTATTCTGAGGCCCAGAAGAACCTGTGTGTGTGTCAGACAATGCTGGCCCCTCAGGAGCTGGGGGATGGTTGTGAGCAGGGGCTGAGAAGGGAGGAGGCCCAGAAAATTGTCTCAGCCATCTTCCAGCTGTGCGTCAATGCCCCTCACAACTGCACAGCCCCAGGGACCCCAAAACAGCTATGACCAGTGACCCCTCAGCTCCTAACTAGCTACCCCCGCCATTCCTGGCACCCAGCTCTTCAGCCTCTTCTGTCTGTACTTCTCACCGCTTCAAACCACACCCCCATCTCGCGCTGGCCCTCCTCCCTCTCTCCCTAGCCTTTCTCTGCCTTCTCCTCCTCCTCTTCATGATTTTTTCCCTGCTGCCCTCTTTCAGGCTGTCTCTCTTCCTCTGTTACATCTTGCATGCTGACTTCCTAAAAGCAGTGATCTGTTTAGGCCAGTCACTGCCCAGGATGACTGTGGTGTTTGCTGGATTTCCAGTGCCGGGCTCCAGCATGGACTGTGGTCACTAAAAGGATGGCTGCCTTTCACCAGGTGCTGGTCCCCAGGGCAGGCAGTAGTCACCCTGGGATCAGGTCCTGGATCCCCTGCCTTCTTTAGCAAAGAGGTGAAGGGGCAGCAGGCACTCACAGCATCCCATTCTCTCCAGGACAGTGTAAAAAAGATGTTCACTACATGGTTTTTGTGATAACAAGGATGTGGAAGGCAGTACATCCTGGCGATTAAGTACCTCTCTGTGCTCTCATTTATTCTTCTGTAAATAGCAATAACAGTAGCCTCTACCTTGAAGTATTACTGTAAAATTAAATAATGTACATAAGCACACAACACAGCACATAGTAAGGCATAATTTCTCAAAAAATGATTGTTTTATTATCAATGTTATTAGAAAAGTTTAATGATAGAACAACAGTGCAGTCATTTTTGGTTTATATATCAACAGTGAACAACAGTGCAGTCGTTTTCGTTTGCCGCTCTAATGAGTATTTATAGAGAGTGTATTTTAACATACTATGCTATGACGTTAAATGACATTAAATGAAAACCATCAGTACGTAAAACTCTGCAGTACAATATTATTATGTCAGCCCACAGGAAAATCTGGGGTGAAACCATTCAGAGATATCACCAGCATTCTCTGAGTGATAAGTAGTTGATTTACAATGTTGTGTTAGTTTCAGGTATACGAGATTGTAGTTTTTTCTTCCTCCTTTTTCTGAAATTTAAAAGAGGAAGAAAGACATGGAAAATGGATGGTGTGTTCCATGGATCCACTGTTCCTGTGCCACCTTCTCCCCATCCTTGTACCCCTGACAGGCCCACTGGCCCTCTCTGGAGCCTGAACTCTCATTCCACGTGCTGTGTGGGTGCCCCCAGGATGGTGACTGCTGTGCTAACTGATGTCCCATTTCTCAGGTCCCCTGGGAAATGTTTTCCTTAGACCTTAATCCCAAGAAAAACTGCGTTTCCTGGAATGCTTTTAGTCTTATATCTGATGCTGGCTCCTGCTTTTCTTTGGCTCCCAGGAAACCCAAGACAGATTTGTGCCCTGCCTTTTTGTTGTTGTTGTTGTTGTTTTCTTTTTTTCTTTTTGTGTGCCCTGCCTTTAAAAGGACCTTCTTCCATCCTGCTCGGGGGCCATGCCAAATTTACTTGCCTCCTCAAATCTTCTCCTCCATCCCCTCCATCTGCCCTCAGTCGCCAGCCTTGTCTCTGGCTCAGAGAACCCGGTGGTCACACCTAGACCATGAGTTCACTCATTGAACCCTCACAGCCGTTCTGGAGGTCAGGACTGTCATCACCATCTCCACTTCCCAGATGAGCACAGACAGATTCAGTACCATTGGTCAGGACCCTGCAGCTAATTAGTGTAAGAGCTGGGTAAGAATCCGCGGTGTCAGTCTGTGCTCTCCACCGCTCTGACTGTCCTGCCTCTCCAAGGAGACGTGAGAAATGGCAGAGAGGACAAAACCAGGAGCAGGGCTCAGAGTGCTCTTTGCTACCAAGGGTGGCTTGCTTAGGCACTGTTCCTTCAGCTTCTGTAGGCTTGAAGGGACAGCCAAGAATTCTTTCCCTGTGCATCCAGGACACACCCTGTTCCTCCAAGTGGTAGGAGGAGAGGCAGCCTGTGCAGTCTCTCTGGGCCAGGCTGCCTGCTTTTTGCTTTTCTTTTTTTTTGGCCGCGATATGTGGCATGTGGGATTCTTAGTTACCCAACCAGGGATTGAACCCGAGCCCCTCTATTGGAAGCACCAGGGAAGACCTAGGCTGCCTGCTTTTGAGCCTCCCTGTCTGTATAAACTTAGGCAAGAATTCTAACCTTTCAACCCTCACTTCCCTCTTCTATAAATTGGGGATAACAGTTTCATCATTCAGCAGCAACCACAGAGATAGATGGTAAAAAAGTGAGATAAGGAATGAATGGCATGGGCCAGCGCGAGATCCATGGCAAATGTTACCCTCCTTCTTGAGCCTCCCCGCCCCCCCTACATCCCCTTCAGGTTGTCACAGAGCACCGAGCTGAGCCCCCTGTATTATACAGCAGCTTCCCACTACCGATTTTACACACGGGAGTGTACAGATGTCAATGCTACTCTCTCAGTTCGTGCCTTCTTCTCCCTACCCCTCTGTATCCACACGTCTGTTCTCTACGTCTGTGTCTCTATTCCTGCCCTGCAAATAGGTTCATCAATACCATTTTTCTAGATTCCATATATACATATTAATATATGATATTTGTTTTTCTCTTTCTGGCTTACTTCACTCTGTATAACAGGCTCTAGGTTTTTGGTTTTTTCTAAGTTGACCCCAAAGTATGTTGACCCCAAAGATGATTGGTGGGGAAATGGTGTGATTAATAACAATAACAAGCCACGGAATGTGCGTGAGTGGAAAGGAAGGGTTTGAGTGGAGATGATTATGAATCTGGCTGTAGCACCAGGTAAATTTCAAAGAACAAATAAATAAGCAATAATAACATGAATTGTGTTTCTTTTCCAGTATTTCTGTTCAGGTAGAGAATTAGAGAAGTTTCTCTCTTCCCCTTCTCTAAGAGCTATATGGCTGGATAGCTTCTGGTGGATCTTTCATGAAAGGTACCAGGTAAATATAAATTTGGTTGCTTCTCTTCCTTGCTTATTTTTCTGTGGGACAAACCCCAGCCTCTTTAAAAAAAAACAAAAAACAAAAAAACCCAGCCTCTTTAACATGGGCTATCAGCCCCTCTGATTCCACAGACCACCCATGGACCACGCCTCATCTGTCACCCTCATCCTTCCCCACCCATGCCTTCTCCAGACATCTTGGGCTGGAAACATTGCACCATGCCTGCAGCAACCCTGAGCTTTAGGAACTGGCCCCTGTCACGTGGCTGGTCAAGGGCAGGGCAGAGAGCAAAGTCAGGACCTCCTGGCTCAGACTTTAGGGTGCTTTTCTCAACAGCCTACCTCTCTGTACATGTTCTGTAGATCCTAAAGCAAATTAGTATAGCATTTCATAAATAATATGAGATTAAATACCTTGCAAGTAAGATTCCTAAAAATAAGAGAAACACTTAGTTAAGGTTCTCAGCCCTTGACTGTTTCAACAAGTAATTCTTGTCATTCCTTCTCTATTTGTATTCCTGGTAGCCAAAGAAGGACATCCAGAGCAAGCTGTTTGACCGGATAGCCCAGAACTATGCTTTTCTTTTGTTTTGTGAATCCAGGACCCACTATGAAGAGGCTCTCTTAAAAGTGAGCATCAACCACTATTTAGGAAAAACAAATCATGTTAGATAGCTATTCACTGCTCGTGCCAAGTTAATGCCCTTAACATTTTTTCCATAAGAAAGTAATTACTAAGTTGTGGTATCTTCATATGCATGCCTGCTCCATGCTAAGTTGCTTCAGTCGAGTCTGTCTCTTTGCAATTCTATGGACTGTAGCCTGCCAGGCCCCTCTGTCCTTGGGATTCTCCAGGCAAGAATACTGGAGTGGATTGCCATGCCCTCCTCTAGGGGAATCTTCCCATCTCAGGGATTGAACCCACGTCTCCTGCATCTCCTGCATTGCAGGCAGATTCTTTACCCACTGAGCCACCTGGGAAGCCTAGTTTCATATACTGACTTGTAAGGCAGCAGTTACAAAAAATAAGGTAGCTCTATGTATACCGATTGGGAAGATATAATGATATATTTTAAGTGAAAAACAAAGCAACGTATACAACTCCATGTATATGTATATGTATGTGTGCCTATGAGTGGGAAAAAAAAGTCTGGAAAAATATTTGCCAAACTCATAGCCATGTTCATCTCTAGGGAATGAAAGTGAAAGTGTTAGTTGCTCAGTTGTATCTGACTGTTTTTGACCCCATGGACTGTCACCCACCAGACCCCTCAGTCCATGGGATTCTCTAGCCAAGAATATTGGAGTGGGTTGCCATTCCCTTCTCCAGGGGATCTTCCTGACCCAGGAAAACTCAGGGAATGAGGTTAGAAGAAACTTCCTTCTCTATTTTGTTTATTTCTGTAGCATTTAAATATGTAATTTCAAAATTATGAATATACATATATGCTTTTTATATGTGTGTGTATGTATATATGGTCTTCTCAGGTGGCTCAGTGTTAAAGAATCCACCTGCCAAGCAGAAGACATGGTTTCAATCCCCAGGTCGGGAAGATCCTCTGGAGAAGGAAATGGCAAGTCACTCCAATATTTTTGCCTGGGTAACCCCATGGACAGAGGAGACTGGTAGACTACAGTCCATGGGGCCACAAAGAGTTGGACATGACTTAGTGACTGAACAACAGCATGTATATATGTGTGTGTGTGTATACACTAAAAGGGTTGCTAGAAGAAAATATAAATGAGCATTTATATGATTTGAGGATTTGAGGATGGGGAAGGACTTTCTAAATATGACCCCAAGGGAATAACCATAAAAGAATGATTTAACTATGTAAATTCTTTAAATTATTGCAAAGAGGCAAATGAGAAATTATGCTAACATACTGGTAGCATATATGCCACACAACAAGTCTTACAAATCAGTAGGAAAAATGGACCAATGGACAAAGTACATAAACCAGAAATTCACTAGGGAAGAAATACAAATGGGAAAAAAGTTCATCTTCGACAACAATCAAAAATATAAATTAAAACAATAATCATTCGATTCCCCTTTTTACCTGCTAGATTGCATAGATTAAAAAGTGTCACTCCCAGGATTATGAAGGATATAGGGATTTCCCTTGGACAGTCTGAGTGGAAAGTGAATTGATACAGACGTGCTGAAAGGCACTTATACTGATAAAGCGTCTGTTTAACAAGTCACTTAGGCTGTCTGTGTCTCAGTTTCATCATCCATAAAATGGGGATAATATTAATAATGCCTCTCTCACCAAGTTGTCCTAAGGATTAAATGAGATTGTGTTTGTAAGACATGTGACGTATCACCCAGCACTTGATGGGTGACGAATATATAATAGCTGCTATGATTGCTATTATCATAACATCTAATGCAAGTCATAACCTAATAAATAATAAAAGCTGCTTTCATTCATGCATTCAACAAGTTTTTAACTGCCTAATATGTGCCAGACACTGAGCTAACTTCATAAATAAATGTAATTACTGTGCATAATTTGTAATGCAAAGTCTTAGAAACATGACAATATGATTTTTGGGGACATTTTTTGGATCATTTATCAAGATATTGTCATGTTTAAGTAAATTTTGAAATGGCCACTCACAAAATATTATGAAGGCCACTTTTGAAAAAAACATTCCAAAGAGTTTATAATAACCTGGGGAAGTATTTATGTTATGATGTTACATGAATAAAGCTAGATCTAGACTATAATTTGAGCCTAAGCATAGCTGAAAAGAAAGAGCAGTACTCCTTGTGCATGTGAAAAAACTCAGTAAGTAAGACTTAATATTACCTCTGGGATGGAGCAAGATGGGTATGTCAAATGTGCTTGTCATCTTTGAGCTACTCTTTGACCAGATGGTAGAAAGGGCTGAGCCACAGACCATGTGCAGAGGAAGTGGAGGAGAGGAAGTTTGCTGGCCAACACAGCACGATGTTTGAGGTGTGGCCCCCACATAGGATAAGGGGTCCACCTAGATATGTGGCAACTGCAGATGGAAATCACTCCCCTCGTGGGACTTCCCAAGTGGCACTAGTGGTAAAGAACCCGCTTTCCAATGCAGGAGATGTAAGAGATGTGGATTTGATCCCTTGCTTGGGAAGATCCTTTGGAGGAGGGCAAGGCAACCCATTCCAGTATTTTGCCTGTAGAATCCCATGGACGGAGGAGCCTGGCGGGCTACAGTCCATGGGCTCGCAGAGAGTCAGACACAACTGAAGCAACTTAGCACGCATGCTAAGCATGTGATCAGGAAGGTAGCACAGTGTCAGGTAGAGCATTTTATCACAGGTCCTTTCTGAAGTCAGGGGCTCTTTTCCGGGTGTGGAAATGTCCAGAACACTTCCCTGGGCTCCGCTTGCCCCCTAGAGGCTGCCATCGCTTCTGAGTAAAGCCCTGTACACCAGCTTCTGCTGCTGCTTCCCTCAGTCCTGGTTCAACACACACGAGTTCAAGTCTGACATCTGTAACACGATGAGCCTGTGGATTTCAGGTGAGAGGGGGCTGCTTTCTCGGGGAAAGCCATTCCAGATACACGTCTTCCACCCTAGCCTAGGTAGGTTCCTGTTTGCCATCACACCTCCTCATTGAGGCAGTTGTCCTTTTCTCTCCTTGACAATCAGGAAAGTAAAGTGTGCAGTTAGAGCCCAAGGAGTACCCATGAGCCTGCTTCCTCAAGCAGTCTGAGACAGTCCTCGTCCCCCTTTGTCCCTGGCTGCATCTGCAGGGAGCAGGTTTCAGCACAGTCCTGCCAGTTAACCATGTGCTATAGGTGGGTGGACCCAGGAACCCCCTGCCATGTGCTGGCCAGACAGTCCTACCTTCCACCCCCAGTGTGTCCCCACGTGACCAAGGGTTGTGTCTCTCTCTCTCCCTGCAGCGCACCACAGTGCCAGTTTGATGTTTGCTTTTCAACTATTTTTCAGTCTCCTTCCTCACTCGCCCTATCTCAACCCAGGTATCTTCTAAAGTCATTGAAAGCTGAGATGTCCCCGGTGGACTGAGTGCTGTGCTAAGTAAGCACTTTTTACATTTCCTCCTGTGTTGAGGATCACTTCCACATCAGGAGATGTGGTCGAACTCACAGATGTCAGCATACAGTTGTATTTATAGTTAAGATTTATTGCAATGGAGCGAGGATACATAACCAGATCCTAAGGGGACAGACAGGCAGAGTTTGAAGGAATTCACATGCAGGCTTCCTCCTCCCATTGATGCAGAGCCCCTCATCCTGAAGCAATGAACATGTAGCCACACTTGTGTGATGGTTCTGCCCAGACACCCATTAGAGAAACAGTGCCCAAGGTTTTTATTGGGGGCTGCTCATATAGGCACCTCTGTCTATCATGTACCAAAATTCCAGGGAAGCAGATGATTAGCATCAGCTACATTGTTTTATAAGTAGTCTAGGCCCCCTGAGTCATTCGTGTCAGGGAAAAAAATTTCCCCCAGCTTAATTGAGATATAATTGACATATGACATTGTGGAAGTCTAAGGTGGACAGTGTGAAGATTTGATGCATGTATATGTTGTGAAGTTTTTACCACAAGCAGATTAGTTAACACATCCTTCACCTCACATAATTCCCAGTCCTTTTAACACGTGCAGCATTGAGACCTGGCATTCAGATCCAGGCCCTGCCACTGTGAAGCTAAGTCTTTGACCACTACACTGTCTCACCTCCCATTCTGACTCTGTCCTTTCTGGTCTTTCTTCCTATTCCCTATTTTGTTCAAGGCTGTGCCTCCTTGCCCAGTTGACCCCCAGTAATAAGCCTCCTGTCTGCTTACTTTGTCCAGTGGAGACCAGAGCTTAGTATAAGGGCTCGAATTTTTTTAAGTAATCTTTGGGCTTTTCCTTCCTAAATCAAAGAACTGAAGGAGATAGTGGAATTTCTGTACTGTCTGAGAATTCAGACTCCAAGAAATCAAGACCCTGAAACATATGGTTTCCTTAAAAGAAAGGTATCAGCCCCCTAAGCATCACCATTCGACATTTCAGGCAAAGCCATTTCTGGCAAAGCCATTTCTGGTATTGAACAAAGTATAATAATATGTTGAACGAAGCTTTACTAAGTGTCTGTTTATCGTGTGCCAGGTCCAAAACTAAGCCCCGGAGGTGCAGAGATGAGTCAGACCCAGCCCCTGCCTTCAAGGAGTTCCAATAAGAGCAAAGGAGATAGACAGGAAAAACAATGACAGTGCCTTCACACCTACATAGCACGTGGCAGGTTCACACGTCTGTGGTGTGATCTGATCCTCACACTGTCAGGAGGGCAGGGTTGGCCTCACATCTCCATTCTCCAAATGAAGAAACCAGTCTCAAGGAGAGGAAGTGGCTCATGCCAGGCTATAAGGCCAGCATGGGGTTGGGCTCATGCTGGAAGCCCAGTCCCCCCAGGACCAGTAGGGGTATCTCAGGGGCCTCATTCGTCTGTTTCCTGCCTCCTGTCCTCTTCTGCAGCAGTCTTCATGATCACTGTTAACTCCTTCTTAGGTATATATCCTTGCCCACACAGCTATAACAGCTGGGACTACTCAAAACTGGATCCAGAAAGGTTCCGGAGAGAAGAATTAATGTTGCAGAGAAGAAGACTGAAGGGTAAGGTACCAGCTAGGGACTACCATCCCCAGTGCCCGCTGCCACATCCAGCTCCCACCTAGTCCAGGCAGTTGCTGTGCTATGCTAAGTCGCTTCAGTTGTGTCCAACTCTGTGCGACCCCATGGACTGTAGCCCTCCAAGCTTCTCTGTCCATGGGATTCTCCAGGCAAGAATACTGGAGTGGGTTGCCATTTCCTTCTCCAAGGGATTTTCCTGACCCAGGGATCGAGCTGTTGTCTCTTATGTCTAACCTGCCTTGGCAGGCAGGTTCTTTACCACTAGTGCCACCTGGGAAGCCCCTAGTCTGGGCAGGGAGGGACCTTGATATTGAAATCCTCCGACCTGGTTCTCTTTCAAGGCTCACTCTCACGTACCCTAAACTAGCCTCCAGCAGACATCGTGGACACCCAGGAATTTCAAAGTAAAAAGAAAAAAAAAAAATCTAACCTGGAAATTGTCTTCACATTTAATGACATTTCAGTGAATATTAAATTTAACACCTTAAGAATTTGATAGGTTGTTACTCTTTTAAGTGTTTAGTTCAAGATTTATTCATTTCAAATTTGCAAGGTTCTGAGTTTTTGTCTTTTAAAGCCAATGCATTTTTTTTCTTGTGAGTTGAGTGCTTGCCCTGTTTACCCTCTGCAGACATTATTTCCTTTAATTGGCTCATCAGCCCTTTGAAGTAGTTAGTATTCACACCCTTTCACAGGATCAAGCACGTGAGGTAATTTGCCCGAGGTCACCCAGCAGGTAGAATGACAGAGAGGCCCTGGGCTGCCTGATGCCAGTCCTCTCCCTGTTGTTGTCGCCTCCAGGGCTTCCCTGATGGCTCAGGAAGGATCTGCCTGCAATGAGGGAGGCCAGGATTCAATCCCTGGGTGGGGGGAAGATCCCTGGAGAAGGGAATGGCTACCCACTCCAGTATTCTTGCCTGGAGAATCCCATGGCCAGAGGAGCCTGGCGGGCTACAGTCCATGGGGTCACAGGAGTCAGACCTGACTGAGTGACCCTTTCACTTTCATAGCCTCCAGGTAGGGGGCTGTCTCAGAGCTCCCGCTCTGGTGTCACCCTCAAGACAAGACGGAACTGACAAACTACTTTTTTCCCTCTTCCCTAGGAAGAGGCATATCTTTCCTCACTGCTAGGAAGTACTCCGTCTGGAAGGCCACTCAGAACAGGAGGACCTGCTGTCATCACGTAAGTGTGAGGCCCACACCCAGACCCCTTAGAGCCCCCTAAACTTCAGTGACTTCTGGCTGGTTGTGCATCTATGCACTCCTTGCCCCATCACCTCAGGGAGGGGCCCTGGATCTGGGTCCTCAGGTCTGCAGGGATGAGTGGGGACGCTAAAGGGCAGCGGGAAGTGCCAGGATTGGGAGGAGAAAGGAAAGGAAGTCATCTTCCAGTGTAGGCTGCAGCACACATATCTTTATATCTTCCCCTCCCTGGTGAGCCTCATCTCATCCTATAGCCTGGACATCCTCCCAACACCTCTTTGCCCCCTCTCCTCCTATGTAGTGCCGGGTGCCACCACCTCTCTGCCTTCCACTTCCAACACTCCAGTTTGAGCTCTCTTCACTACTGCAGGAGGCTCCTGTCTGCCTCAGGCTCTAATACCCCTGCAAGTTTTTCAAAACACAAATCTAATTACATTATCCTGTCCTCAACGACCGTAAACACCATCCTCCCTCTCAGCCTTCCAGGCCTCAGAAGGGGCAGGCGTTCAATCCCTGGAACTAAGATCCTGCATGCCTGCCACAGGGCCTAACCAGAAAAATAGAAAAAAAAAGCAGCAGCAGCAGTCAGTAGGAAGGCCCTTGCCCGTCGCCTGCCTGCCTGCCCCGAGGCCACCCGCCCCCGTCTCTACCCTCGCAGTCTGCTGTCTAGGAGGAAGGGCCCTCGCCCTTGTGCTTGGACCTCAGCCCACAGCTTCCACTCCTGCACTTGGCACCGTCTTTTTTGCAGCATCGTTCCCCGCTCAGCCCCACCCCGACCCCCCTCACCGTGGTCTGTTGGTTCGCTCCCGTCGTTGAACAGTCCTCTGGCATCTCTTGCCTTTACAGAGAAAACCCACTTTGTCTCTGCACCCCTGTTTCTTGCTGCTTGTCCCACAGAATTTCTTGAAAGCCTCGTCTGCCCCCGCATCTCTTCCTCAGCCACCCCATGGTTCCTGCCCACTGTGCTCTCTGCACCTGCTCTGGCCAACTTGGTCTGGCCCCCAGTCTGTTCCCTCTTCTGGTCTGTTTCATATGGCTGGTTGCTCTCATCTCCTTGAAATCCTTTTTTCTTTTAGCTTTGCTTCTTTGTTATCAGACTTTTTGAGTGTCTTCCTTTCCGGCTGGCTGCCCTTCCTCTTGTTTTTCTTGCTAGCTCCCCATCTCATCAGTCAGCTCTGTCCTGGCCCCTTCTGCCTCTATCTAGATATCCTTTCCGGGTGATTTCGTCTGGTCTGGTGGCTTTCTTTTTTTTTTAATGCAATTATTTATTTTAATTGGATGATAATTACTTTACTATACTGTGATGGTTTTTGCCATAGATCAATATGAAGCGGCCATAGGCATTCATGTGTCCCTTCCATCCTGAACACCCTCCTCCCTCCTCACCCTTCCTTCAGGCTGTCACAGAGCACCAGCTTTGGTTGCCCTGCGTCATATGTCAAACTCCCACTGGCAATCTATTTTACATATGGTGATGTATATGTTTCAATGCTATCTATTCTCTCAAATCATCCCACCCACCCTCTTCTTCTCCCACTGAGTCCAAAAGTCTGTTCTTTATGTCTGAAAAATATGGAATGCTTCATGAATTTGCATGTCATCCTTGCGCAGGGCCCATGCTTAGCTTCTCTGTATTGTTCCAACTTCAGTGTACATGCTGCTGAAGCGAGCACGGTCTGCTGGCTTCCCGTATGCCAGTAATGCCCAAATCTCCCTCCGTACCCTGGCCACGCTCAGGACTCATCTGGTCTGTCCAACTGCCCTGTTAGCCTTCCCAGGAGGCCCTCAGCTTAGCAAAGCAGGGGCCTGGGGAGAGGAGCCCTGACTCCCAGCCCGCGCGACACCCCTCTCCTGGCCCGTGGCTGTAGCCTCTTCCTGAGCGCTGTTCTTTCGCTCTTAGCCCCAGCTGCTCTCCACACAGTGACCAGAGTGACTTTTTCAGACACACACTGGCTGAGGTTGTTCCTGGCTTAAACAGCACCAGCTTCTCCAGTGCCCCCAGTCCGCTGAACCCAGCCTGCATTGTTCTGCAGAATTCAGCCACCTCCACCTCTCTCTCCTGCCTCCTCACTTCCATTTCCTCGCTGCACTTCCTTCTGCCTCTGGGACACTCCAGGCCTGTGTCCAGTTGGGTCACCAGCCGTCACCTTTACCTGGAACGTGCTTCCCTCAGGGTTCCTGAGGGAAAGGGCTGACTCCTTCTTGCCCTTCAGATTCCAGTTTTCTGTCATTACCTTAGCGGTGTCCCTGGCCCCCCAATCACTCTGTTATCATATTGCCTATGATTCCCCATACGGTACATATCATGCTCTGCTATTCTTTTTCTTTTTTTCTTGTCTGCATGGCATGTGGGATCCCTAGTTCCTCAGTAGGGATCAAACTCTCACCTCCTGCATTGGAAATGCAGAGTCTTAACCACTGGACTGCCAGGGAAGCCCCCTGCTATTCTTCCTGCAGGATTTATATGTTGTTTAGTATCTGTCTCCCCGTATTAGAATATAAACTCTATGAGAACAGGACCTCTTTTCCTTTATCCCTATTCTATCTCAAGCTCCTGGAATAGACAGCACAAAGAAGATACTCAACAATTATCTCTTGACTTCACAGAGGATGTCGTCTATGTAAACTCAACCCTCTGCTTAGCATAGAATGTGTTTAGTCACTCAGCTGTGTCTGACTCTTTGCGACCCCATGGACTGTAGCCTGCTAGACTCCTCTGTTCATGGGGATTCTCCAGGCAAGAATACTGGAGTGGGTTGCTATCCTCTCCTCCAGGGAATCTTCCCAACCCAGGGATCCAACCCAGGTCTCACTGCTCTATAAATATCAGGAGGCTTCCCAGGTGGCTCAGTGGTAAAGAATCTGCCTGCCGATGTGGGAGACACAGGAGACAGGTTCAATCCCTGAGTTGGGAAGATCCCCTGAAGTAGGAAATACAACCCACTCCAGTATTCTTGCCTGGAAATTTCCATAGACAGAGGAGCCTGGCAGGCTACAGTCTATGGGGTCGCAAAGAGTCACAAGGAGTACAACTGAGCATGCACGCATGGTATAAATGTCAGCCTCCAGAAGTAAGACAGAACAGGCACTGTGGCGGGACAGCTGTCACTCCCAGACTGAGAACAAAATATTATTCAGTGTTTTTGCACTGCCTGTCACAACTGTGTCAAGCAAATGTATTTTCTTTGTACTGGAATACATAAAATCTTCCGACAGTTATTTCAGAAACCCAGCTAAGAGAGTCCATTTTCTGCCTCAGAAATAGAAATAATCAAAAGCTTTCCAACCTTAAAAGCAGCTGAAGTTTCACTGGGCAAACCAGAATGGAGGGAGTCATCGAATTCCACAGTGGGGACAGAGCTTCTCTCTTGTTTTTAGCAGACACGCTTTCCCATCTGCTCGGGGAGATAGTTGGCTGTGTTCAAAATGTGCTTTTCAGTGGCAGCAATCTGTCTGGGAGTCCACAGTTGAACGGCCGAGCAGCAGGTTTTAAGTCTTACCCTGTGGTCTGCCCTACTCCAGCTTCATATTGTGAATTTGCAGAGTGGGAATAAAAAAGCATCTAACTATGTATCTGGCTTCCCCTGTGAGGCTTGGCTATAAATAAGGGCTCCTACCTATTAGAGACTGAATCACTTGTTCACTTAATAAATATGGGAGAATAGTTAAATAAGACCTTTATAAGGAGGAGTCATCATCATAGTTCTTATTTGCAAACGGTGGAAGCTAATCCAGTTGCTTTAAACAGGAAGAGTATAATAAACAGTATTAGTGGTACGCGGTTCCCCAGGATGGGCCAGGGCACTAGTTTCAGAGGCCATGCCACCAAGAATGGCAGGCACCAACCGATAGTAGTGGGGACTAATGCTCCAAGCTCCACTCTTGTTTCCTTGAAAAGCCAGTTGCTCCCATTACAGTCTCTCCAGAAGCCAGAGTCTCCTTGGTTCCTCACTTCCTCACGTTGCCCATTTCCACCTTAAAGTCTCAGGCAGGTGCATTGCATCTGAGGACGAGAGCCTAGTTAAAATGTCTGCGCTCAGCCACAGAAGAAGCTGGGAGAGCAGCTGAAGTCTTTCACTCACCTTGGGCCCTGGGTCTCGTGTACTTGGAGGAAAAAAAATGAAAGTGTTAGTGACTCAGTCGTGTCCAGTTAACTCTTTGTGACCCCATGGATGGTAGCCCACCAGGCTTCTCTGTCCATGGAATTCTCTGGCATGAATACTGGAGTGGGTTGCCATTCCCTTCTGCAGGAGATCATCCCGACCCAGGGGTCAAACCCAGGTCTCCCACATTGCAGGCAGATTCTTTACCGTCTGAGCCACCATGGAGTACATTGAGAACGTGTGACAAATAACACCTCCAGGATGTGCCATTTGAGTTGAAAACCAAAGGACCAGGAGTCAGCCATTAGAAAAGTGAATGAAAGAACCTTCCAGGAAATGGGAACAGCATGTGCCAAGGCCCTGAAACACAAGGTGGAGGGTGATATATTCAGGGCACAGAGAGAAGACCAGTGATCCTGTAACCCAGTGTGAGTGTGGAAGAGGGGCAGGAATCAATCCTGGAGAAGCAGCAGGAGCGATCTCCTGCAGTTCTGGCTCGGCCACAGTATGGTGTATGGATATAATTTCAGTGCTGCAGGAGTGCACTGAAATCGGGAAGTGACATCTGATTTCTGTTTTTAAAAGATCACACTGTTTTCTGAAGATGGCGAATATAATGAAGGGAGGAGACAGGACACCAGTTAAGAGGATTTTGTAGTTGTCCAAGGGCTTCCCTTGTGGCTCCGCTGGTCAAGAATCCACCTGCAATGTGGGAAACCTGCATGTGATCCCTGGGTTGGGAAGATCCCCTGGAGATGGGAAAGGCTACCCACTCCAGTATTCTGGCCTGGAGAATTCCATGGACTAGTCCATGGGGTTGCAAAGAGTCGGATACAACTGATCGACTTTCACTTTCACTGTCAAGGAAGAGGCAGTGACAGCAGGATGCAAGAAGCAGAGAGGCCTAGAGTGTGTTTTGGAGATATTGATCTTTCAGGACGTGCTAATGGATGGCTTTGGGAGTTGGGTGGATAAGAAGGAAAGGGAGGAGTCAAGGATGTGTCCCAGTGTGTGGCTTAAGCAGCTGAACGGTGTGTGGGGTTTGTGAGATGGAAAGTGTAGGGTCTGGGGTAGGAGACTATCAAGAGTTCAGTTTTGAACTTGTTAACTTTAAGATGCCTGTGAGAGGTGCAAATGGAGATGTCACATAGATAGTGAAACATACTAGGCTTGACTGAAGGAGAGGCCAGGGTTACAGCAAAAAACAATTTCTGCCCAAGTTTTTATGTATTTGGGACAAAATATGGAAACTACGAGTGAGTGACCACCGTGGAGCCATAGGCCAAGGCGGGAAGACATATACTAGGCTTGGTTCAGAAGAGCTAAGTTTTCGTCTAGGTAAGGTCGTCTATCAGGTAGATAACTTTATCAGTTCTAGAGCAAATCTGAGCCTCTGTGTTCTTGTTTGTGAAATGGGCATCATGGCTGGTGTTTTTTAAATTAATTAATTTTTTCTTTGGCTGCCCTGGGTTTCTGTTGCTCACAGGCTTTCTCTGATTGCTGCGAACTGGGCCCCCTCTTGTTGTGGAGCACGGGCTCCGGGCTCAAGTGCTTCAGTAGTTGCGGCTCCCAGGCTCTGGAGGGCAGGTTTAACAGCTGTGGCGCACGGGTGTAGCTGCTCTGCGGCATGTGGGTTCTTCCTGGACCAGGGATCGAATCCGAGGCCCTTGCATTGGCAGGCAGATTCTTATCCACTGGACCACCAGGGAAGCCCACGATTGGTACTAATTCTTAAAGATTCAATCCAGGGAGAGGTGCTGTCCCATAAATTGTTGTCTAGCCATGTCCTGTCAGAATGTTTTCTCATTTTAACCAGAATTTCCTCAAGTTCCAGAGCAGAGGTACATACAGGTCATTTAACAATAATGACCCAAATTCCTGAAGCTCATTCCTGTACCTGCTGATGCCAGATCTGCCAAGCCCACGTCCCTCGCAGACATTTCTGGGCATCCCCAGATTGTCACAGTGGCTCAAAAGCTGGTCTACCTCCATCACAGCTAAGCCTTCAGTGTGCAGAATCTGAGTGGCAGGGTGACAGGGTGGAACGGTCTCATCTCCACTGTGCTGCGGTGGGAAGGGGGTCCCAGAAGAGTCTTAATTTACGCCCCCATCCCAACAACAGTGCCTCACATGCTCAGAGCGGAAGTTGCTGATCACAACACATGAGAGTGGGTGGGAAAATAATTTGGAGAGTCCACCATGTGCAAATTTTCTTTGTGTGTATCCTATCCTAGCATCCCTGCATGGTAGGTCATTATTATTTTTATCTGACAAAAGGAGAAATAGACTGAAACTGGTGAAAACTTGCCCCAGGCCACATGACTAACTTCAGCTGACATAGAAAGCTGTCATTCTGAGCTCTTTCTGCATCATCCTACTGCCTCTCCAACAAATGCGGAGGTCTAATGCCTTCAGCCAAGTCCATCTCCTTGTGACTATTCTCTGCTCCATGACAGAGCTCTCTGAAGTCTGTAATCAATGAGTGTGATGCTTCACTGAGCTCTGGGAGTGTCTTTTCTCTAACAGCTCTGAGTAACCACTTCAACGCTGTGAAAATCAGCTGCTGTTAGACAACCAGCTGCATGGTGGATGGGAGGTCCTTTCAGCTTTCTTCTTCCCATTCAAATATCATATTTATGTAAAAGCAAAGTGATGATTGTTGAGGCTGGAGGGTTGCTTGTCTGCCACTCGGTGGGCCATCTGTTTAAGACTGCCAAACTCCTACTCATCTTTAAAGACAGAACCAAAGTGTCTTCTCTCCTTGGAAGCCCTCCAGCTCTGCCCCAAACAGAATCAAGTGTTCCTACTGGGGCTTCCTAGAATACTCTGCTAGTACCGCTTGTGACAGATTATAAGCTGTTTCCCAATATTTGTTGTTTCCTCCCCCTGTAGGAAAGAGAGAGACTTCCTGGGTGGTCCAGTGGCTGAAACTCTGCATTCCCAATGCAGGGGAGCCGGGTTTCAATCCCTGGTCAGGAAACTAGATCCCACATGCAGGAACTAAAGATCCCGCATGCTGCAACTAAAAACAGGTGCAGTCAAATACATAACACACATAACATAATTTTTTAAAAAGAGAGAGAACCTATAAAGAAAAGGTTACATTTCCTTGCCTTCCTTCCATCTGTGTGTAGCTATGTGGCTAAGATCCAGTTAATGAGATAGAAATAGATGTGCCATGTGGCAGTTTCTGGGAGTCTTCCTAGAAAAAAGGAAGATTCCTTCATCTCTTTGTCCTTTTCTCTATTCTGCTGTTTGGAATGTGAATGTGATGACTGGAGCTCTAGTTGCCACCTTGGACCCTAAGAACGAAGGTCCTATCTTAGGAAAAGTGGAACAGAGCTGGAAGAAGTCAGAATCCCTAAGATTTATCACAGGAGAAATAATGTATAAACCCTAAATTGCCTACCTTCAGATTGTTATATGGGAGAGACATTGCTACCTAGTTTGAACCACTATTAATTTCAAGTCTCTGTCACTCATGTGCAAACCTAATCCTGAGTTATATTACCTCTGTAACAAATATGTGCTACTTTCCAATTACCTTAGCGTAATTGTGATTTCCTCTTATCGTCCCTGCTAGACTTGTAGCTCCTCTCAGCAGGGACTAGGTTTCAGGTTTGGCTCAGCGCAAGACACATGAGTAGTTGGTCAGTGAAATGTCTTCTGAAGGAGGGGTGGGGAGTGATTTCATAAACAACCATGCACTGTCTACAGAGCACTTCAGCCATGAGCAACAACTGCGCTTTGCATTCATTAGCTGACTTAATCCCCTTAAGAACCCTGTGAGGAAACCAAGGCAATCAAGACATTCATTGACTTGCCCAAGATCACAGGCCATTGTGACAGGGCAGAGACTAGAACCCCAGTCTGCCTCAGGCCCCAGCTCACGTGTTTTCTTCATCTCTTTTTCCCATGCCCCCAGGATGGAGGGCTGAGCTGTTGAGCTGTGCCTGAAAGGTCTCCCTTACGTGCTTTTGCTGAGAACAATGAAAGACACCTAAGAAATTGCATGTATACTTTTTGTATTCCTCTCACTACCAGTTTTACTAAATTTGTTCTTCTGTGATTTTTGTGTGTTTTTTCTCTCTCCTGGAGTCTGGTGATACGAATTCAACCAATGAGAGAGCCAGTTCTGCCCAGAAGAATTCGGTGTATGGCCCAAAAGGTACATTAACCACCCAAAGGGGAAATGTAGGCTTTTGATTTAGTTATTATCTCCAAAATCCTAGTTTCTTGTTTTTTGTTTTTTTTTTTAAACCTCATCTGCTGTCCTCATTTACACTTATGGTGTAAATGTCTTTTACACCATAATTGTCTTTTCAGTTCAGTTATCACTAATTAAGTTCCACTTTTGTGATAATGAGTTCAGCAGTGTTGATATCTGTGGGGAAGAGAGATTGACGGCACTGGAAGAAGAAACCTAAGATAGGATTACTGCTCTTCTCCCCCATCAGAAAACAGAATTTATTGAGTTAGAAACCTATTTGTGCCTGGGTGTTAATTTATTGGGTGGGTCAAAAAGTTCGTTTGGGTTTTTCTATAAGATGGTGCAGAAAAACCTAAATGAACCTTTTGGCCAACCCAACACAAAGGTGACTAAGTGACTACATAGGTCAGTGCCGTTAAAAGAAACTTCGTTATTCTTAGTTCTAGAAATGGGAGGCATAGCTTCCCGTGCAGGGCCATAGGAGGAAGCTCCAGTGTTGTCAGGAGGCAGAAGGGAGTAAGGGGAAGGCATAGGCCACAGCCTTTATTGGCATTTCCTTGGGAAAGGCCAGACATGACAGTGTAAACAGCATAAGATTGGCTATATGGAATAATTCTGGTGGGTTTCAGGGCATAAAGGCTGTCCCTAGTTGTCTGACACCTGGACTGGGTCGATTTAAGTCAGGAGAAATATTGGCTTGGTGTGAGAGTTAGATGCTTGCTCCTTGGAAGAAAAGCTATGACCAACCTAGACAACATGTTAAAAAGCAGAGACATTACTTTGCCAACAAAAGTCCATCTAGTCAAAGCTGTGGTTTTCCAATAGTCATGTATGGACATGAGAGTTGGACTTTAAAGAAAGCTGAGCATCTAAGAATTGACACTTTTGGACTGTGGTGTTGGAGGAGACTCTTGAGAGTCCTTTGGACTGCAAGGAGATCCAACCAGTCCATCTTAAAGGAAATCGGTTCTGAATATTCATTGGAAGGACTGTTGCTGAAGCTGAAACTCTAATACTTTGGCCACCTGATGCAAAGAACTGACTCATTTGTAAAGATCCTGATGCTGGGAAAGATTGAAGGCGGGAGGAGAAGGGGATGACAGAGGATGAGATGGTTGGATGCCATCACTGACTCGATGGACATGAATCTAGCAAGCTCCAGGAGCTGGTGATGGACAGGAAAGCCTGGTATGCTGAAGTCCATGGAGTCAAGAAGAGTCAGACACGACTGAGCTATT